GAAGGAAGGAAGGAAGGAAGGAAGGAAGGAAGGAAGGAAGGAAGGAAGGAAAAGAAATACCCTGTTAGTTGATTTGACTGAAAGCCATAGTCAAAATATTTCTTCTACTACTCTTTGAGTAATCCACATAGAAAATAAAAAGTATGGTGAGACAGCCAGACTGAATATTTGCTGAGAGCGATGATATCTTTATGGTGAATGGATACAGCCTTGGCAGGTGCAGGGATTGGCTTCCTTCCAGTCTTAATATTTTTCTGACTCAGATTTTCCATTAATAATAAAAGCTCTTTTCTGTTTTCATTGAAGAACTGGTTAAAAAAGGAAAAAGAAAATATTTATGTATTTCAAACTTGCCTCCTGGATGTGTTTCCAGAACATGAATTACTTCCCATAGATTATGAATGAGGAATTTGGGTATCTTTTTTTTTTTTTTTTACATGACTTTTCTTCAGATACACTGATTTTGGGATATCTCCCCTGTCTTATCAATCTGTGCTTTCAAAGAACTGTTTTGTCAGTGAAAGAATATTAACCCCAGCATCTTGTCCCTATTGAGTAAACTGGAAACACTGTTACCAGTACGTATTTACTTCCTCTGACATGATGTTGGTTAAGGGAAATAAGAGTCTGGTATATATATGGTCATTCCCCCCTTTGCTTCTATTGTCATCAGAGACGGTCTGTTGAGGCAGAGTGACTTGGGGTGTGCATTTGCCAGTGACGGCCATGTTTCCCTGCAGTGCCTGGAGCAGCAGCAGCTGGCATGGGCGGATCAAAGGAGGAATGAAGGGCTTCCAGAGCTTCATGGTTTCAGACAGTAACATGAGTTTCGTTGAATTTGTTGAGCTGTTCAAATCGTTCAGGTAGGACACAGTCTTTCTTCTTACTCTTTCTCAGGCCCACAGTTGGATGGCAGCTCTAAACGGGAGGTGTTTTCCATTCCTCCCTCAGCGTAAGGAGCCGCAAGGACTTGAAGGACATCTTTGACATCTACTCAGTGCCCTGCAATCGGTCTGCTGCTGAGTCAGGCCCGCTGTACACCAACCTGATTATCGAAGAAAACACCAGTGACCTTCAGCCTGACCTAGGTTGGTTTAACATTTTGCAATTTCCCTCCGAGAACTTTCTCTCCAAAGCAGGAGACCCAGGTACATAAACTTTCAATGTGTCACTCATGGTGTGCTGTTCCCTGGAGCTTGAAGAAACACTGAAAATTGTTTCTAAGGTCATTTGGTGTTGAGGGGTAGTCAGGAGGTGTGGAAAGTCCAATGTCACGTGGTTCTTTTGGCACTTAGTTAAAACTAAGAATGCCTTCCAATAACCCTGACAACGCAGCACACCATTGCCAAGTGTCCACAGGTATGGACCGAGTCTTAACTGAGAGAGAGTAGTATCTATCTACCTTTAGGTTACGCACTTGCTCAGGCCCAGGCAGTGATTGTCTGTGCTTTGCCAAGGGGAGTCCTTAGTGACCTCGGTAGAGTGCTCCTGTCTGAACAGCTAGGATGTTTTTCCTTCTTTGTAAACCAGAATGTTTCCTTCTATCCTAAAATGACTATCCATTTTAGTCACTCAAAAACTTTAAAGCCTATCATTTTTCTCCTAAATTCTTGATAGAATCTAAGCACAAAAGAGCACACACACATACACATACACAAATCACACACACAAACACACACATACACACTCCCCTTTTTTATGTACCGCTTCATAATTATAACCTTCAGGTGTCCTTATAAGACTGTTAACTACTGTACAGCTCTCAAAGCGTGCGTTCCTATAGACTAACCAAGAAATTGCATCTTTTAGATCATTGCATTTTATCTTGAAGATCCACTGTAGTTTCTGGAAAATGAGCCAAAATCGTAGAGTTCCCATACACCGCCCCTCTGTACAGCTGTGTAGGTGTCTGCCCATGCACACTTTGGCTGCTTGTAAGGCCTTGTGTTGGTACAGTGCATTCGTTACAATCCTTCACTATCAGTCGGTGTTGGTAGCTGGGGTCCATGGTTTTCCTTAAAGTTATACATTCCTCAGATTCTACAGATAGCAGCATGTATACAGTGCTGTATTAGGCAGAGCAGCTTTGCTGCCCTGGAAATCTCCTCTGCCCCACCTTTTCGTCTAACCTTCCTTGCCTGTAACTCCTTGGCTGCCAATTTTGTTAATATTTCCATAACTTTGTCTTTTTTAGGACATATAATATCATTGGAATCTTACACTATGTAGCCTTTTGGGATGACTTTTTTCACAAAGCAAAGTGCATTTACATTGCCTGTTTGGTTGGTTTTTCTTTTTCTTTCTTTTTGTTTTTTGCAACTCAATGGCTAATTTATTTTTAAATTAGATATTATTTCATTGTATAGATATGGTGCTACCAACATTTGTGTGCATACTTTTGTGTGGAGATATGTTTTGTAACATTTTGGCTAAGTACCTGAGAGTGCTAGATTGTGTGGTAAGTCTCTGTTTTACTTTATAAGAAATTGTCACATTGTCTTCCCAAATGGCTAAAGTTGAAATAACCAGACCTACCAAGTTCCTATGAATTGGAAGCAATGAAAGCCTCAGAATACTTCTGGTTAAAATGTAAAATGACAAAATTAAATTAAAAATTAATGTAAAATGACAGTGTGGTGGCTTCTTGCATAAACTAAATACACTCAACATAGGGTCCAGCAGCTATTCTCTTTGATCAGTTGCTGAACTGAATTTTAAAATGGTAATGGTGCAAAAATCTGTAGATAGACACTCATAATCACAGATTGAATATACAGAAAAGCTTTAAGATTACATTTATTCTGCTTCTTCCAAAAAAGAGCATAAAACAGTTAATATTTTTTTAAAACAAACTGGATTAGAGAGATGGCTCAACAGTTGAAAATACTTGCTGCCCTTCCAGAAGACCTAAGTTCAGTTTCCAGCACCCACATCATGTGGTTCACAACCATCTGTAACTCTAGGTCTAGGTTTTCTGACACCTCTGGCCCCCAAGGGCACCTGCACTCATATGGACATGTCTCCCCCATCTCCCCACATATAAATATTTTTTTTAATTTTTTTAATCTGAACTTGTGCTGGACGTGGTGATGTACACCTTTAATTCCCAGGACCCAGGAGGCAGAAGCAGGTGGAGCTCTGTGAGTCTGAGGCCAGGCTGAGCATTCTTCCAGCCCCTAGGTTCTTTTGTTCATTCATTAATCCATTTTGTTTTCCCTCTACCGTGGGAAGCCAGGATACTCACTGAGTTTGGCACTTTATTTGTACAGAGGAAAGCTTTGCCGGGGCATTGACTCCACAACACCATTATCTCTAGAGGAACTCTGTCAGAGAAGCTTCCAACTAATCCATGGTCTGTGGGTGGCTGTGTTTCAGATTTGCTGACCAGAAACGTCTCAGACTTGGGGCTGTTCATCAAGAGTAAACAGCAGCTTTCTGACAACCAGAGGCAAATATCTGATGCTATTGCCGCCGCAAGCATTGTGACTAATGGCACTGGGATTGAGAGCACATCCCTGGGCATATTTGGGGTTGGCATACTCCAGCTCAATGACTTCCTGGTGAATTGCCAAGGAGAACACTGCACATATGATGAAATCCTCAGCATCATCCAGGTATCATACATAGCATGGCCCTGGCTGCTCTCAGAATTTGATGTTAAGCCTTTTACTCCATCTAAACTTCTTCCCACAGCCTTCATGCCACGGGTAGAAATAGAGTTTCTTTTAAGGTCAGGTCCATAGGTATTCTTATTTATCATATAATTAACATAGGTCCTAGGGCATCTCTGACTCAAATTATAAGGAATGTGTGCCCAATTCCTTCTTGCTGTTCTAACACGTACAGCCATCTAGATTTTCACTCTGTTACTTGTTAGATCCTATTCTGCATCCATGTTCCAGGAGCCGTGAATACAGTATTGGATAAAGTTTCATTTTTCTAGGCAGCTTACATTCTGGTGTATGAGACAAACAATAAACAAATATATGTAATTTCAAGAGTGAGATTTTTTTAATTGAGCAGAGTAAGGAAACAATGTGAGTAAGGAAACAGGGCAAGGAAGGCTGAGCTGGAGAGGGCACCTTTGGGCTGAGCTCTGAGCAACTAAGTCATTTGAAATTTAGAGGGAAGGGAATTCTCAGAAAAGCATAAGCAGTTAGCTCATGAGTTGGGGATTTATAAGGAGCATCAAAAAGCTAGTGTGGTAAGAGCCAAGCAGGACTGACAGATGAGTTTTCAGGTCAGTATCCAAAGACCAGCTTGCCTAGGACTCGTAGACCACAGGACGGATGGAGGTTGACTTCTGTCCATGTGAAACGGGAAGCTTTAGGAAAATTTGAGCAGGAGGGTGCATGATTTATTCTTGAAGAGGTCACTGTGAACCCATTTTGAAATGAACTGTACTGATGAAGGATGGAGACTGGGGGAAGGCAGAAACTATCCCAGTAGCTCAGGCAAGAGGATGTAGCTCTTGTTGGGTGGCAGCTATAGAGAGTGAAACTTTACTGTGTCAAGAGTCACATGCCTCAGAATTAGCTTAATCTGATTGGGAATCCATGGAGTAGGCTGGGGAGCCATTGATTTAGCCCTAACAATGCTAACATTGAGGGCTCACTGTAAGTTGACTGAGTGTATGTTTGGTAGCAACTCATCTATCTCATCCCACCTCCCACTGCTAGAAAGTGGTTGTCATAATTATCTTCATCTTCACCTCAATTAATGGGTGTACTGTGTTTAATATAAATCAGCCTTATTCTATTCTCTTGCTCCCTCTTTCTCTTAAATAAATACACTTGGTATAATAAACTCACATATAATAAATATTTTCTTTTGGACTAAAAACTACATCTTACCACTACATAACTAAATTAGTTTAAATATTTGGTTTAAACGTTTCCTAATGAAAACAGAACAGCTTTTTAAAAAATGATGTGGTATTATTTCGCCCTTCTTCGTTTCCTTTGCCTAAAAACCCTTTTTTTTAATCTCTTACAGAAGTTCGAGCCTAGCCTCAGCATGTGTCATCAGGGCCTAATGTCATTTGAAGGGTTTGCAAGGTAACACTTCGCATCACCTTTGCACATCGCTTAAGAGCATGTGGTACCCTTACGCTGCCTTAAGAAAATGTATTTCATCTAGGTTTCTGATGGATAAAGATAATTTCGCCTCCAAAAATGATGAGTCGCGGGAGAACAAGAAAGAACTGCAGCTACCCCTCTCCTACTATTACATTGAATCTTCACACAACACCTACCTCACAGGTCATCAGCTCAAGGGAGAATCATCCGTGGAGCTCTACAGCCAGGTACAGAGAACGTTGCTTGAATACGGCACTCACGAAGTATTCTTATCCCGTAACCCCCAAACCACAAAAGCCTGAGTCCAGATTCCTTTGAAGAGTTTCTAAACTGTGATGTGAAATATGAAGAGCCCTCAGCTGTAGGGAAAAAGTGATACATATCATGGTTGTTTCCTATGCTTCTCTGCCTTTTTGTTTGTTTACTTGTTTGTTTGTTTTCCCCTCAGGCTATACTCACTATTCGTTGTAGGCAAAGAAAAGGCAAAGTGTTTGTTTGAGATCTGTAGCTTTTAGGTCTTTCATCAGCTCTGCTCCTGCAAAAATTAAATTTTCCCATGGGAAAGCTATCCAATCATTTACTAAATGCTAAATAAACCAATACACTGTGGCGGGAGAGCGTAGTAGAATCTCGTATTTCTTACCGCGCTAATCCCAAAATGTTGTTGTTTTGTTTTGCTTTGCCGTTTGTTAGACAGTCAATCCATCCCTATGGCAACCAACTAAAGAAAAAGCTGCACAGGCTGGCGGCACTTTCCTCCGGCCTGGAATTCATGGGAATGTTCTGGGAAACAGTGGGCTCGCTGGAGCTGGAAAAGTCCACCCTTTGACCTGACCAGCCAGATCTCAGGCATTTTTTCATGTCTCTCTCTGTTACACTGTCTGCAGCTTCCTCTTCTGCTGCCTATTTCCTCAACTCCTACCAGAGATCAGAAAGAGCCAGGTTATGTCCAGGGATTGTATGTTTGTGCTTGTGGGTACAAAACTCAATTATATTGTAATCATACAACCCCAGCAGTGAGATTCCTTTGTTCTCCAGATTGGTCCAGTATTCATGGTAAATTATGACACAGGTTCCCCACACACACACACACACACAAAATGTTTGTTTAGCACAGAATGTGTGTTTTAATCTCCGAGTTCTAAGGAATCTGTATTATGAAATGAACATGTATCCTTAGAGTAGGAATCTTTGAAGTAGACCTTTGTCAGGGGCCCTCAGCTGCTTTTAAGGAGATGAGTAAGCCACAGCTAGAAGGGGCTTTACCTTGGCACAGCTCTGCTAAGACACTGCTGACCAGTCTTTCATGTGCTTCACACACTGGCCATTTACTTGCACAAGTAGCTCTGAAGTCGAAAACTGTTTGTGGAACCAATGAGATAGTTCAGTGAGTTAAGGCACTTGCCACCAAACCTGATGGCTGAGTTCAATTCCTGGAACTCACATGGTGGTAAGAGAGAGTGCCTGCATTCGTATGTGCACACACACATACTAAATAAATAAGTGTAAAATTTAAGTTTAAAATCTGTTGTTCTTTAGGAAATATATGTATTTATGTCTGAATTGCTCTATATATTTTTAAATATTTCTTTCTTTTTTTTAAAAAGATTTGCTTATTTATTTTATGTGCTCTATCTGCATGTATGCCTGCATGCCAGAAGAGAGCATCAGATTACATTATAGGTGGTTATAAGCCACCATGTGGTTACTGGGAATTGAACTCATGACCTCTGGTTTTGTTGTGGCTGCTCTTCCAGGGGACCCAGTCTTTATATTTTATATGTATATACACATGCACATAGTAGTTCTATATCTCTAACATCTATGTGTATCTATGTACTCTGTGTTCATTCATCACAGGGAAACAATCAAGAACCATTTCTGAGCTTTGGTTTCCAATTCATTGTTTAACTTCAAGAATTTTTTTAAGCTCCTCATTATGCCCCAAGCAGAGATTACCTCAGCTTTTGAATAAGGCACAAAGGCCTTCACATAGACTTGCACATGTGATTAGACCATGCTCAGATCCCCTTTGCTTCACTTCTAATCCTCTTATGCTCTGCCTTGGCCCTCTCAGTTACTTCCCATGGCTTCTCTGCTGAGCAGAGGGAAAACAGAAACAAGCCCTGTTTCTCCTCCTTACCTGGAATTTCCAGCCCTGGTTTTCCTTTTATACCCTAATATGGAGATACCAGGTTGTGCAAACTCTAGGAAATATCTGTAACCTTTTCACTTGAAAACCCAACTACCAGTTGCTGACCACTCTTAGTCAGAGAGGAAGCAGTCTCACGTTGCTAACATACTGACTGCATAGCTCTTTTCAGGCCAAGGCAATGTGCCGTAGACACATGGCTGCCAACCAAAGCTGATGGGCTTGGGATTTTTTTTTTTTTTGGTGGGGGGGTCTTGGGACTATAGGTAGGTCACAAATTACAGCATGTAGTGGGAAAAATCTATCTAGACTCTTGCATTAAAAAATATTAAAAGGGGCTGGAGAGATGGCTCAGCAGTTAAGTGCACTGGCTACTCTTCTAGGGGACCCAGGTTCGAATCTCAGCACTCACACAGTAGCTAACAACCTAGTGTAACTCCAGTTCCAGGGGATCCAGTGCCCTCTTCTGGCCTCTTAAGGCACCAGTCATGTGCATACACACATGCAGGCAAAACATTCATACATTTAAAATAAAATTAAAAGGAGATCATGAAATTTGCAGGTAAATGGTGGGAACTGGAAAAGATCGTCCTGAGTGAGGTATCCCAGAAGCAGAAAGACACACATGGTATATACTTACTTATAAGTGGATATTAGACATATAATATAGGATAAACATATTAAAATCTGTAAACCTAAGGAAGCTAATCAAGAAGGAGGACTTTGGCTAAGATGCTCAATCCCCATTCAGAAAGGCAAAGAGGATGGACATCAGAGGAGGGAGAAAACAGGGAACAGGACAGAAGCCTACCACAGAGGGCCTCTGAAAGGCTCTACCCTGCAGGGTATCAAGGCAGATGCTGAGACTCACAGCCAAACTTTGAGCAGAGTGCAGGGAATCTCATGCAAGAAGTGGGAAATAGTAAGACCTGGAGAGGACAGGAGCTCCACAAGGAGAGCAACAGATCCAAAAAGTCTGGGCACAGGGGTCTTTTCTGAGACTGATACTCCAACCAAGGACCACTCATAGAGATAACCTAGAACCCCTGCACAGAGGTAGCCCATGGCAGTTCAGTGTCCAAGTGGGTTCATAGTAATGGGGACAGAGAATGTCTCTGACATGAACTGATTGCCCTGCTTTTTGATCACCTCCCTCTGAGGGGGGAGCAACCTTACTAGGCCACAGAGGAAGACAATGCAGCCACTCCTGATGAGATCTGATAGACTAGAATCAAAGGGATGGGGAGGAGGACCTCCCTTATCAGTGGACTAGGGGAGGGGCACAGGTGGGAAAGAAGGAAGGAAGGCGGGGTTGGAAAGAGAGGAGGGAGGGAGCTACGGGGGAGATACAAAGTGAATAAACTCTAATTAATAAAAATAAAAATAATTAATAAAAAATTGAATTAAATTAAACAGCCAGGCACTGTGGTCAGCACTTGGATGGTAGAAATGGGCAAATCTCCATGAATATGAGGCCAGCCTGGTATTCACGGTGAGTTAGTTCCAGGACAGCCATGGCTATCTAGAGAGACCCTACCTCAAAAAATAAAATAAAATAAAATAGCACATTTCACTATGTTTTGTTGCAGAAACTCTAGTGGCCAGAACATCCCAATACAGATTACTGTAAAGTAGAAATTATTACCTGTATTCTCAAATCACACTGTATTATTAGCTCAGTCACAGATAGTCAGCTTCTTGTCTAGGATCACCTTTTCATTATGTGATAATTTTAAAGATAGTCTACAGATGAGCCTAGGGAAGATGAGATTGCTCCAAACAGATGGTGAAAGCTTCAGTCCACAAAAGTGTGTGAGAGCCCTGCTTCCAGCCTCAGATCCAGAGTGAATCACTGGCAGGTTCTTGCAGCAGTCTGCTGAGGGGCTGAGATAAGACATGTCAAGGCCTGTGGGAGGGCACAGTGTGTGAGTGATCACTGGCACCTGCTTGGCCTTAGGAATTTTGTTGGGGATTGTGCTGAATCTGTAGGTTGTAGGATGTCCATTTTTACTATGTTAATCCTACCAATCCATGAGCATGGGAAGTCTTTATCATACAAGTCTTTCACTAGCTTATTAGTTAACCCCCCAGATATTTTGTACTATTTGAGGCTACCATGAAAGGTGTTATTTCCATGATTTTTTTCTCAGTCCATTTGTCATTTGTATATAGGAGGGATACTGACATATATATATTAATCTATATATTATATATCAGTATATATTATATCAGTATATATGTTATATATCAGTATATATATTATATACCAGTATATATATATACAGTGTATATATCAGTATATATATTATATATCAGTATATATATTATATATATTATATCTGTATATTATATATCAGTATATTATATTATATCAGTATATTATATATCAGTGTATATACTGATATATATTATATATATATAATCTATAAAATTTTAATCTATATGATAATATAGATTATTATATATATATAAGTTAATCTTGTCCCAGGCACTTTGCTGAAAGTGTTTATCAGCTGTAGGAGTTCCTTGGTGAAAATTTTAAGAGTTACTTATGTATATTATCATATTTTCTGCAAATAACAACACTTTGGGTTCTTCCTTTCCAATTTGTATCTCCTTGATCTTCCTCAGTTGTCTTATTGCTCTAGCTAAAACTTCAAGTACTATATTGAATAGATATTGAGAGAGTGGATAACCCTGTCTTGTTCCTGATTTCAGTGAAATTGCCTTGAATTTCTCTCCATTTAATTTGATGTTGACTATAGCCTTGCTGTAAATTGTCTTTATCATGTTTGGTTATGTCCTTTATATCCTAATCTCTCCAGGAATTTTATCATAAAAGGGTGTTAGGTTTTGTCAAAGGCCTTTTCTTCATCTAATGAGCTAATCACGTAGTTTTTTTTTTCTTTCAGTTTGTTTATATGGTGCAATACATTTACTGATTTTCAAACATTGCATCCCTGCATCTCTGAAAAAAAGCCTACTAAATCATGGTGGATGATCTTTTTGATGTATTCTTGGATTTTACCGAGTATTTTTCTATCTATGTCAATAAGGGAAATTGATCTGTAATTTATTTGTTGATTCTTTATGTGGTTTGGCTATCAGCGTAACTGTGACCTCATAAAAATCAATTTTCTTCTTTTGATTTTTTTAAGTATATCCCTATGATTCTCTGGATTTTCTCAATGTCTGTTATTATGTTCCCTTTTTATTTCTGATTTTATAATTAAATATTCATTATCTGCCTTTTAGTTAGGGGTTTGTCTATCTTGTTAATTTTCTCAAAGAGCCAACTATTTGTTTCATTGATTCTTTGTATTATTCTCTTTGTTTCTTTTATTGATTTCAGTTGATTATTTCCTACCATCTACTATTCTTGGGTGTACTTGCTTCTTTTTGTTCTAAAGCTTTCAGATGTATTGTTAAATTGCTCGTATGAGTGAGTGCTCTCTGATTTTTTTATGTAGGCACTTAGTGCTATGAACTCTCCTCTTTGCACCACTTTCATTGTGTCCCATAAGATTGTGCATGCTGTGTATTCGTTTTCATTGACTTCTAGGAAGTCTTAAATTTCTTCGTTTCTGTCTCTCTTGACCCATTTTTCATTCACTATAGAGCTGTTCCGTTTCCATGAGTTTGTAATTTTCTGTTATTTCTGTTGCTCTTGATATCCAGCTTTAACCCATGGTGGTCTAACGAGATTCAGAGTTATTCAGTTTTCTTGTATCTGTTGAGACTTGCTTTCTGACCAAGTATGTGGCCAGTTTTGAACGCTCCATGAAGTACAGAGTAGAAGGCATATTCTTTTGTGTTTGAATGAAATGTTCTGTAGATATCTGTTATATCCTCTTGGTTTGTAGCGTCTGTAGCTCCAGTATTTCTCCACTTACTTTTGTCCATTGAAAGGGAAAGTCTGCAGGTATCCTACCTGGTTTTTTGGCAGGCATGGCCTGTGGTTTAGTGCGGGGTGGAGGGGGGGACCTGCCGGAGTGGGGATGGTGGTGGGATACAGCCAGCAGTGGAGGGAGGGAAATTAGGAGGGATTGTTTGTGGGACCCACAGGAGATGAGGGCAGCAGGGAGGGCAGACTGCAGCTGATGTTCTGTTGCAGAGTTAGGGAGTAATAAAGCCGGGGAGGGGTCTGGAGGAACACGGAGAGAGTGGCCTATAATTCTAAGACGTTCCATGTCAAAGAATGAAAGATAGTTTTTAAAAAGAAAAAAAAATAGAGATGACATGGTCTTACACTCACTTTACCTTCTAAAATCTTCATTTCTGGTAAACACTCTTCTTACCTTGATTTGTTCTCTCCATCCCCGAGCCCATACTAATTGTGACCTTTGACAAAAATGTGAAATATCTAAATTTTATTTAATATCCACCTTCTTTATCCGTAAATGCATATGCTAACTGATGTGAACTGCGCTTGGCTCAGTCTGAGGCTTTCCCTCCTGGTACTCATCTGCGATGGACTCATTCATTGGTCACACAGGTCCTCTTGCAAGGATGCAGAAGTGTAGAGTTGGACTGCTGGGATGGAGATGATGGGATGCCCATTATTTATCACGGACATACACTGACGACCAAGATCCCCTTCAAGGTAGTGCTTTCCACCAAATCACGGGATATCCATTATCTTTGCTTAAGTTGCCTGCTCTACCAAATTATACCTTCCGTCAGAGGTTCTTGTGCTCTGAGTGTTTGAGGTACTGTGGGAGTGTGAACAGGTTCACTTTCCTAGGATTTAATCTAGAGCTCTTACTAGGTCCTTACTCAACTCAACTTTAGTAATTGTTACTTCATGTTGGAACATAATGATATTGGTGCTATTTATTTCACATGAATAATGATAAATAAAGGCACAGACCTTTTCTTCCGAGAGAAATTAAAGACCATTAATCTTGCTGTCTTGACTGACAAAGGAAAATATCATGTGTCAGGAGATAATTAATTAATTGCCATTATAAAGTAATGAGACCCATCTCCACCTGGGAAGATCAATTTCTCAGAAGACTGACATTATTGGATTATTTTAGATTCTGCATAGCCCATTAGTTTAGCTATGCAGTTACTCCTCACTTGGAAGGTCTTAAGCTATGCAACCTCATTTTTCTTTGAGCTGTGGCCGGGCTGGAAGGAATATTATAATTATATGGAATAGTAGCTAAAATGCATTTTTTTTCTTCAACTTATTTTCTATTTATCAATCATAAAACTCTTTCACTGTATATTGGTGAATGGCTATGTTTATCAACACATGTTAAAAGCTATGGAGTGTGCCCTTTTTGTTCCAAATACAGTATTAACTGCTTCAACATGCCTTGGGCTCCATTATATTGTATGCTATAACAAAAACAATGTCTTTTATTGACAGTATTCTTTTTTGGTATATACTGATTTTTTTTTTCAGTTTAACATAGTGATAGTTGTTTCTTGTAGTATGGGAACAAGACTCAATATGAATAGTTTGGTATCTTTATACAAAAGAGGCTAATATCTTTCTTAGTTTACAAATCTATTTGGTCCTCCTTAGCTTTGGGTTCTGTGTCCATGGACTCAACCATACAACTATAAGTCTAAAAGTGGTGTAAAATTGGGTCTATTTATAGTGAATTTAAATAGACTTTTTTCTTGTCATTATTTTGAAACAATGTGTTCGCACTGGGGATTCTAAGTATCTAGGATTATTTGAAGTACATGGGAAGAGAGATGTATGGAGATTATATGTAAATTCTATGCCATTTTTATGTGAGATCTGGGCATCATATAGATTGCTTTGTCTGCAGAGGTCCTGGCATTATTCTCCCATGAATCATGCTCAGAGATACGTATATTTTTCAAAAGTAAAAGCCGCTTTTGTCCAGAATCTGTTGCATGCAATAATTAAGGCACTTTCCACGGCTGAATACCAGCCTTCTGACTACACCAGACAGACACCACCTGACTCTCATGAGTTGTTTGGGTCTCACAGGAAGTAGTGGAAGCCATTGATCGCAGTGCCTTCATCACCTCTGACCTGCCCATCATCATATCCATTGAGAACCACTGTTCGTTGCCTCAACAACGAAAAATGGCAGAAATTTTCAAGGTGAGCTTCATCTACGACACTATTACCTTTCATTTGTTGGTGGTGTCAGTATAGGGCAGATGTGGACCACAGCACAGTTGGACTTCAGCCATGAAGCCTGTTTCACTGACCTAAAAAACTGGTGCTGCTCAAAGAGCTTGGGCTTTTCAGGGATGGTTCCTCTTTTCATCTGTAAGGATATAGGTATTGTTTTCTGGCCTCCTGGCCCTTTGCAGGAAGCCTTGGGAGGAGAGGATAGATCAGCTGGCCAAAATTCCTTATACTACCAATTGGAATACCAGATGTCACCTGGCAGTTGTGCATGGAAAAAAACTGAAACTATTTCAGGGAAAGTCACATATTGTTGTGACACACACTATATTATAGCGATCCAAGTTAGCAAGTTAGACTTTTCAGAACATTTTCTGTGTTGATAATAAGCTTCCTTCTACAAGGGAAATGTAATGCGGGCAGATTAAGGAGCAGCCATTGCATAGGATACCTCCCCTTCTCCAGTGAGAGAAGTGTTTGTAGAAATGGAGCTCTCACGGAAGGAGGGGCACTAACATAAAAAGTCCTCCCATGTGAGTACCAACAAAATTTTGGCTTTTTGTATTGCCTTAGCCTACACTTGTTGTTTACTTTGAAATACCTAGAAATAAAAGTTGCCATAGTTTCTACCCTTATACCATCCTGTGTCTACCCTACCCCCATGACCTTCTCAATAGAGACATTCTGCTTTGGAGACCAGTGCTCTGAAGTCCGTGTGAAAATATCTAGTCTTCATCCACGGCTGCAGTAAATGCTCCCTGTTGCTTCTCATCTCATCTGTCTGTCCCAACATTCTTATGCTCCTGACTTCTTAGTTGTGTCACAAAACCCACAGCTGCTCATCCAAGCTCTGCTTGCTTTCCTCCAGAGCACTTCCCTAAGTCATCGCAGCTGGTTCCTTCCAGGCGCTGACCTAGGTCTTCCCCCTCACCCTGAACACATCCCTTCCTTCCAGCAGGAAACTGCCAAGAGAATAAACAGTCTCTTCTTTAGTTCCTTTTCCTGAGATTTCTAAAACAACTCAGCTAGGCTGAGCTATCCAGTATATTTAGGAAATACACATGTATTTATCAAGCGGAGGTAGAGGGCATTGACTGTGTGTTTTCCTTTATGCTTTGTAGGGTGTGTTTGGAGAAAAGCTTGTGGCTAAATTCTTATTTGAGACCGATTTCTCAGATGACCCGATGCTTCCGTCACCTGATCAACTCAGGAGGAAAGTGCTCCTTAAAAACAAGAAGCTCAAGGCCCATCAGACGCCAGTTGACATTCTGAAACAAAAGGTACCCCTCTCTAGTTAAACAGGGTAGGAATATGCCATGGGCTTGGGACAAGGAAATTAATGTCATCTGGACTTTTCAGATGACTTGTTGCATAGCCACCTTTTGAAGATTGCAATCCCTTGAACGATACACTTGATCTGGGGATCTCTAACTCTTAGATTCTCTCGTCTCACTGACTTCAAGTTTCCTTTGTAAACTGTGCCCATATGGAAGGCCCCACCCATTGCTTAACTTGTTCTAAGCACGGTGACAGTGACGTGTGACCCTTAGCTCTGCAGCCAGCCTTCAGCTGATGCAGTCCTCCTTAAAGAGAGCCCTTGGGGCCTGGGGTCACAGCCCTGAGAAGCATGGCAACACACCACATCCTGCAGGAGTTCTGTGCTCCAGCTCCAGCCTGTACAGCTGGGTCCAGGGTTCTCCAGGAAGTCTTTCAATTCTTTTTGCTTAAACATGAAGGCTTTTGAAAACTTAAGTATCTCATAGTTTTCCTCTCATTTTTTTAAAGATGGTGCCTTAAAAAAATTATCTTTTTAAAAGATAATGACTCAGCTGGCCTAGAACTCCAATTCTCCTACCTCATTGTCCCTCATGTTGGGATCAAAGGTATGAGGCACTATGTCCAGCCTCTCATGCATTTTATATTGGCTTAAGTTTTTTGAGACAAGTTCTTTCTGGATACCCCTGACTGACCTTGAATTCACAGCAATCCTCCTACGTTAGTGTTGTTGAAGGCTTAAAATTTAATAATGATTTATGTTTTAATTAATCAGTGGTTATTCCTAAACCAGCTGTACACCCAAATCACCACACAGAGACTAGGATGTATTTAGTTAACCTAGAGAACAGTGCTAGGCAATAGTTACTCCATTCTAAACCTCCAAGTCCGCATGGCTTTCTCCCATTCAGATTTTACACTTCATACTTGCTTTTAGTCCTATCTTAGGTCCAGTTCATCTCTACTCATGGTTCCAAGTCCTCTCCTGCTGATTTCTGCTCTCCTACCCTTCCACTCACTTCCTTCTCCTTCCCTCCGGACCAGGATGTCCCACCCTATTCTCTCCATTGTGCAGCATTGGCTGGTTGTTTTATTGAAATTACAGATAGTGAAAACCAGATAGTGGGGTAAAGAAATCAGCATTTGAATGAACAAAAGTAAACTGTATACTTTCCACAAGAACATTATACCAACACTTAGTCTCATGGGTATTGGAATTGTAGATATGTGTGCACCTGAGCCTAGCTCTACATTCCTATGAACATTAAAAATCTTAACACAAGTTGAAATATTTGCAGGATATAATTCCTATTATATCACTTACTTATATCTATATACCTATAAATATTATATGCAAAACAGACCTCATTGCTGAATCCATTAGCCTTACTTCTAGACTTAATTTTTGTCTGAAAAAGTCTGAATTTTTAAAATTCAGATAAGCATTGTATTCTCACCCCTATGGTGACCATCATGATTTTGAATGTTTACTTCAAGATAAACAGAAGTCAGGAAAGAGTCAGGAAAAGGAGGCGGAAGTGGCGTGCATCCTTGTAAATATTTACTAAGTAGAGACAATGATATTCTCTTGTCTCCTTTGCTTCCTTGGGACTTGTTCTCAGATGCTGTACATCCTTAAATGTCCCTCTCACTTGACCTCAAGCATCGTACAAAGATGGTTAGAGGGTGAATGTTACACTTCTCTTTATAAGACAGGAATGAACACTGGTGAAAAAAGTGTAGGGAGGAAGGAGGTTAACTGTCCTCTTGTTTTCAGGCAAGCCTAATGTTTAAATGATGCCTACAGAGATGCTAAGGGTCCAGAAGTAGATTCCTTTAAAAAGTGCCCAAGGGTATTATGGAGAGATGACTCAGCAGTTAAGAGCACTGGCTGCTCTTCCAGAAGACCCAAGTTCAATTCCCAGTTATCCCATGTCAGCTCACAACCAGCTGTAACTCCAGTCCCAAAGGCTCTGACACCCTCTTCTGGCCTTTCAGGGCACAGCACACATATAGTACACAGCTACAGAGGTGAAACACACACACACACACACACACACACACATTAGAAATTGTCTTTAATTAAATTAATAAGGGCCTGAACCTACATATCCCTAAAAGTCTCTGTACTCAGAAAAACACATTCTGCACTGAAGAACACACAGAACACCAATCCAAGAGTTTTGCAATCAGTCACGCTCAGAGGCCAGGCAGGAAAGACCAGCACAGGGAACCAGCTGGAAATATGACAGGTTGGAGAGGTGAGGACAGAGTGTGCATGAACAGGTCTCGTTAAATCATTGTGAGAGTTTAAAGCATTATCTCAATTGAGCACCCGTGGTGTGTCCCTGTGATTCTCACCACTAAGGAAGCTAGGGCAGGATGACTTCAGCCCAAGAACTGGGGATTAGCCTGGGAAACACAGTGAGACACCTATGTACTTTAAAAAGAAAAATGGTACATTAGCCAAATGGTTCTCAAAAACTCTGTCTCCAAAAATGTTTATGTTACAACCTAGCAGTATAGCAAAATTGCGGTTATGAGGTAGCAATGTAACTAATTTTATGGTTGGGGTCACCACAATCTGAGGAACTGTATTCAAGAGTTGCAGATTAGGAAGGTTGAAAACTACTGAGCCAGCCAAACAAGTCTGTTTTGGAGATGAAGCTCCTCCGCCAGTGCCCAAAAGAGCACCCTGGGTCCTGACCTCAGCTGAAGGCTTCTCCAAAAAACTGACATTTGCTTCAGTTCCAAAAGTCATAGGAAGCATATGTGAGCTTTGTAGTGAGGCTTTTTACTAAGGTATTGGCACATGTGTGTATGCTCTAGCAGGCCGTCCTTAGATGTGAGGAACTGGCCACCCAGCGGGGGATGCCACTTCTTCCCCAACACTGTTCCCGCAGGTATTTCCTTTATTATTATCATCACCATTATCTTTAGACTTTATTTGTTTGTTTTGTTTATTTCACTTTTTATTGTACACGGGTCCACTGTAAAAAGGAAAAAACAACGCAGCATAGGAGTAGGGTAGAATGAGCAGTTAATATAGATTGGATTACCAAGTACAGGGTAACATAGATCATCACAGATGATGTGAGTATAAAAGGAAATCTGAAGGAATGCAGAGACTATTTCACTGAGTGTGTGAAGTTGTCAAGGCTTCTAAATCAAAATGGCCGTGTGAAATGCAATTATAATTCTATGTGCAGAAACAAACTGGAGGCAAATTTACAAAGTTATAATGATCTCCAAGGCAGCGTACGTCATAAGCTTTATCAGCACCCCAGTAAAAAATGCAGTTAAATATTATACATGACAGTTTTATATTACTCTGAGGTCAATTAAAAAATTTACTAGAAGCGGGGCACGGTGGCGCACGGCTGTAATCCCGACATTCGAGGAGGCAGAGGCAGGCACATCTCTGAGTTCTAGGCCAGCCCGGTCTACAGAGCAAGGCCAGGATAGCCTACACAAAGAAGCCCTGTTTCATAAAACCAAAAAAGAAAATTTTTATTAGCATGTACTCATTGTAAAGCATGATGGGCTTCATGATTGGATTCTTGTTCACATATGTAATGTGCTTTGACCGTATTCATACCCCTTTACTCTCTGTGTCTAACCGTCTACTCTCCTCTTCCTCTTCCCAAATTAAACTATTCTATTTTCATGTTCTATAATGTGTGTGTGTGTGAGCACACGTGTGCGCACTTGTGTGTGTATGTGGGTGTGTCTGTGAGTGTGTGAGAGTACGTGCACGTGCCTGTGTCCACACGTGTGACTGAGTATGCATTGTGTGAATATATGCATGTGCTTTGTCTGTGTGTATGTGCATGTGCCTGGGCACAAATGTTATGTTCGTTTTCTTGTGGATGTGTGTGCATTGTCTGAATGTGTTCATGTGCTTGTGTGTGTGGGGGGGTAGCATGTGCGTAGATGTGCATGTGTGTATCTTCAAGGCCTGGGCACACCACTCTGTATCACCGCTGCCATCGGCCCGAAGCGCTCTCCTCTCTCTGAGGCTCGACACTTCTTCACTTCTTTGCAGGGTTCATCCTGGTTCTTTGTGTCTTAACTCCTGCTCCTTGACCTTGGCTTGACAGCTCTTTTTCTCTCACAGTGATACACAGCCTTGTTTGAGGGGCCCACTTGTACCTAAAACAGATTTTTATATTTTTTTAATTTTAAAACATTTTCAAACAATACATTTTGATCATATTCCTTCCCCTCTCCTATCTCCTCCCAGATTCCCACCCACCAGCACAATTTCATGTTCTTTTTCACTCTTAAAAAAAAAAGGAACTAACACAAAAAGCACACACACACAACACATAAATATCAGTTGCCAAATACTTCAAAGCATGTCAATTGCCCTGAAGTTGATAAACCCAGTGACACTCTACAGAAAAACAACAACAACAACAACAACAACAAAAAACTGACTTTCCCTCTCCCAGCAGACATCAGTGACAAATAGCTTCTTGGTTATGGATGGGACTTGGTGTCAGCTTCTCCTTCACTGTGCTGGGATTTTGTCTGGCCTAAACTTGTGTGGGTCTTCTGTGTGCTGTCATAGTCTCTGTGATAGAACAGGTTTAACAGGTTTTATTTCACATTAACTTAGAGAAGGGTGAGAATAAGAAAGTGAGTGTTGTGTAGGTCAAGGGACCTCTTGGGGCAGTCAGTTCTCTCCTTTCCCCATGTAGATCTCTCAGATGAAATTCAGGGTGTCAGGCTTTGCAGCAAGCTCCCCTACCTGATGAGCCATCTCACCTGCCCTAGAACAAACCTGTTAGAAGTTCTTCTGGGCACTAATCTTATGATATATTCTAATGAAAGGAAGGGAGAAAGGAAAGAGGAAAGGAGCAAAGGAAGGCAGGAGAGGGAAGGAAGGAGAGAAGGAAAGTACTGGCTAGAATGGGAAATGCAGCACTGGAGACCATGACACCCTTTAGCCTGTTTCATGAAGGCCACATGGAGCTGTGTCTTGGGCTGTTTGTCTGCTGTTCCCAGGCTGGCCTTGCACTTTGTGGCTGAGTCTTCAGTTTTCCATGCTAGCCATCAATGAAGCTCCCTGAGCCCCTGAGCCTAGCCAGTGAGCACTGGGTTTTCTAAGCGGGCAGCACTGTAGAATACTGTATCTGGGTGTGGACCCAGGTACCTCGGCTGCATCTTCCCTATGTGTACGTTTTTATTACAAATATACTATGACCACATTTTTTAAAAAAAAGTATGGTATATAGGCTGGTAAGATGGCTCGGCATGTAAAAGCAAATGCCATCAAGCTTGACAGCCTGAGTTCAGGGCCCATATGGTGGAAGGAAAGAACCAACTCCCTGAAGTTGTCCTTTGAGCTACACACGCGCACACCCACACACATACCCACACCCCCCACACAAACACACCCACACACACACGCACACTGTACCATAAATAAATAAATGTAATTTCTAATTTTTATTAAATGTTGAAAGACTAAAATTAAGGGCTAGGCATGGTGGTGCACACCTTTAATCCCAGCATTCAGAAGACAGAGGCAGATAGATCTCTGAGTTCAAGGCTGCTCTACGGAGCAAGTTCCAGGACAGCCAGGATTATACTGAGAAACCCTATCTAGAAAACAAACAAACAAAAACTTACAACTTTGGTAAAGCTCAGAGCTCAAAGTCATAGATTCTGTCTTAGGTTTCTGCTGCTGTGGTAAAACTCCCAAGACCAAAAGCAGGTTTTGGTTTAGTCTAGCTTACAACACTCAGGTCACAGTCAAGTCAGGGCAGGAACTCAAGGTAGAAACCTGGAGGCAGGAACTGATGCAGAGGCCACGGAGGAATGCTGCCTATGACTTGCTCCTCATGGCTTGCTCAACCTGATTTTTTTTTTTTTTATGCCACCACCCATGGTGAGCTAGGCCCTTCCACATCAATCATCGATCAAGAGCATGTGCCACAGGCTTACCCACAGGCCAATCTGTTGGGGATATTTTCTCAAGAATACAAATGAAAATAAATTTGTGCAAATTGTGTCTTTACTGTCTTTAAATTATACTAGTGTGTGTGAGAGAGAGGAGGGACAAAGAAAGAGAGTTCACATGTGGGGGTCAAAGAACAACCTTTAGGAGTTAGTTTTCTCCTTCCCTCGTGGGTTCTGAGGATCCACTTTAGGTTGTCATGATTCTGTGGCAAGTGTTTTTACCTGCTGAGCCAGCTTGTCAGCTTGTATCTCTATTTTCACTCACCTCCAACTAGAATTTAGCAATTCCTCTGATTATAAATATCAAGGTAAGAAACCCAGCAGCATAGACAGTACCTATGTATGTCTTTTTCACCAGAAGAAATGACAGAATTTTCTTATTATCTCACAGATGTTGATAATATCTCCAAGAATGATTTATAGTCATCCTATTTTCAAAAATATCACTTGACCCACTATCATATCAGCACATGTGTTTCCTAAAATTTTTGTTTTAATGATTTATTTTTTATTATCTTTGTGTGTGTGTGTGTGTGTGTGTGTGTGTGCGTGCGTGTGTGCACATGATTAAAGGTGTAGGGGAATAAGTACCTTAAAGGCCAGAAGCATAAGACCCCCCTGGTGTTAAACTCATTTTTTTAATAACTTCATGTTTACTTATTTTCTGTATATGAATATTTCTCTTGCATGTACATTTATGCACCACGAGCATGCCTGGTGCATCAGAGCCCCAGAGCTAGGGTTAGGAGTAGTTCTGGGCCACCACATGGGGGCTAAGAATCAAAGCCAGATTTTTTTGCAAGAGCAAGCGCTGCTCCATACCCCCAGGCCTGGAACTGAACTTTTGCATGTGCACTCTTGACCACTGAGCCATCTGTCCAGCCCCAGGTTTCCAAAAACCTCTAAGCCTGTTCTGTTATTTTGATTTATAGTCCCGATAACATCTGTTGAAAAAGCGTTCTCTAAACTAGCAACTGTTCTTCTGGCCTGGTTGTCCACAGGGATTCTAGTATTGTTCTCAAGGTCAGAGGACTTTCAATATTATTTTAAGACAGGAAAAAAAGTACGTTTCTTAGCAAAGACTTCCTGCTCTAACGTTGATGGCTGTTTCACTCAGCCCCCTGGGACTGATGCTACTTTCCAAGCATCAGAGTCTTCTCTCGCAGGACTTTTTGAGAGCCTAAGAATCTGGATACCACACACAGGCGCCTAGTGATTGTTCCTGATAGTTCCCAAGTTCTTCCTTTAAGGGTGTTGAAATTCACCAAAAAAAAAGTTGGATCCAAAATTTTTAGGGTCAAAGACTGGGTTATAGCAACCCCAATAAACTAAGCTCAGCCACTGGCCCTCCATGTGCCAATTATAAGTACAGTTAGTGGTGTAAAGCAATGAAAAGTGATCTACTCAGTATGGCCCCACTAGGAGGAAGAACAGAGGGAGGAACTCAGTGACATCACCTCCATCTACAGGGTGCCGGCAGGACTTCAGCTTTTAATGGAAGGCAAGAGGTGTGCACTATTAACCAGTCCCAGTCAAGGTGTGATCAAGCTGTCATTGTCTCTGCCCTGGGCCTGTCAGGTGGCCCAAAGAAGTCCTTATCCCTTAAGGAATAAGATTCTTAGGCAAATAGTGGCCAGTTCAGGCAGCAGCCTTCCCATCGTGGATTACTGCCCTCACCTGGGGGCGGGAGAGTCTGTTCAACGAGGTTCTGCTGTTCTGGGAATCCAAGGTGACTTAAAAGGAAAGGTTAAGGACAATGACATGTCTCTGTCCCTTCAGCCTTGATGGGAGATGAGACAGGTTACATAGACACTGCTTGAATGATATATCGAACCTGTAGGCCAAGGAAAGCAGAGTGAAGAAGCCAGACACACAGTGACATCTAAGAGGCTGCACTGGGTTTAGTTATCTGTGGGCCAAAGCCTCTAGCAAGTGCCTGTTTTACACTGCATCTAGATACTTTCTTCTCTTTTAAATGAACCCAAAGGGGTAAGCAGTTTTGAAGGTTTAGGTGGAAGCTCAGTAGGATGACTATGCAGTCTTTAATGATTACTCTCTTACAGGCTCATCAGTTAGCATCCATGCAAGCACAGGCTTTCACTGGTGGGAATGCCAACCCGCCACCTGCCAGTAATGAGGAAGAAGAAGATGAAGAGGATGAATATGACTATGATTACGAATCCCTTTCTGATGGTAAGACAAACAGAGCCTGCTTCTGTGAGCAGAGAAATGCATAGCTGATTATTTTCCCCAAAATAAGTAGATAAATAAATAAATCTGGAAAGCCACACATAAGCAATAGAGGTGATTTTAATAACACCTGGGAGTTTGAGAACTCAGTCACTTAGTGAGGACCAAGGAAGAACAAGGGTTCTGGTAAGCATCACAACCACACTCCAGGAAGACAAGGACAGCACAGGAAGCAACGGGATGGGTGGGGTGGGGGTGCCATTCCTAAAATGGGTTTGTAGAAGAAGAGGTGGAGTAATAGCGGAAAACCACATTGTCAGCCTTTGTGTTTCTGAAGTGGCAGAAGCACTCTTGGCAGATGTTCCAGGCTGTGCCTAAATTTGTCCCCTACACCATTTGCAGGTAATAGCTTCAGCGCTCTGTGCTCTTTTCCTCAACGTTGCGCTGTCACTCTGGCAGTCCGGCACCACAAAGAGAAGGCTTATTCTTTTCCTCCTGGTTCTCAAATTAATAACCCAACAAGTCATTTCCTTCCCCCACACCCCAAAGAGCAAAACATGAGTACTGGCTAATGACATAATTTCCAAAAGTAAATAAATGATGTTAACTAAAGGTTACCTTGAAGGATTGTCTCAAGTCAGAACTGGGGTCTGTATGAGTTCCACTTGCACTTAGTGTCATTAGTGGGAGATTACAGACTGTTTTCTGCTGTGGCATTACTGATAGTGGGCTTTTACCCAGTGACCTCTAAGAGGCAACAGTATTCCCATGAGAAAACCCAGGCATTCTATTTAAGAAGTTGTATAAACTTCATAAACTTTTTTTTTTCTTTTAATGAGACAGTCTCTTTCTTTAGTCCTGGCTGGCCTGGAACTCTTGGTCTTCCTGATTTCATCTCCGATATAGCATTATATATTGGGCTGAGGGTTTGGCTCAATGGTAGAGCATTTGCCTTATATAATAAAGACCCTGTGATCCCTGGCACACACTGCTTAAGGTAGACTATTTGCTTTTTATGTGTGACTGTCCCCACATTAGTAAACATTTGCCATTAATGTACAAACCACTAAGCCAACTCACACATCAGCTTCTCCTACTCAGGGTTGTTTCCAACCGTGTTTCAGTTTAGGGACTTCATTACTGGTAACAGTTTAGTTGTATTCTGGCCTAAAATATAATACTAAGCAATATCCGTTTAACATTTAGCCTTTTTTTTTTCATTGTTAGTATATTTATTTAAAACAAAAACATCATTGTCTTATAATAGCACAATGAGCTAGTGAAAAAACTAGTAACAATGACCATTTGGATGTAAGTAGCACCTGAAGCTTTACAGAGCCATTTTAACATCGATGATTTTCCTCACTTCTCAAGACCGATGAGAGGCAATGCTGAAGAGTCACTCAGCATAGACCTGGGGCCTTGTTCCCACTTGGAGGCCATCTTTCATCTTCCTACATTTAGCCTTTATAATAGTTGGTTGTTTCATTATATCAGTTAAAGGCTCATTAATTTGATCTGAAATGCCATGAGGGAGAAAATCTGAACGGCATCAAGACAGTTTATTAGCATCCTAGCCCTAAAAAGTCATGGGAGTGTGCAGAATTTTATATTGGCACGTTTACCCCCATGGAAATGCTCCAAAGCAAAATAGACTCGGAGAGTAAGTGAAAAATTATACTTAAGAAATCAGCCAATCCAGATGCTATTTGCTCCTGTCAGAAGTCTTTCCACCAGAATATAAGTTCTTTCCCCATCATAAATTACTCTTGGGCTTTTTTTGTGCTTTTAAGAATAGGAAAGGGAGCTTTTTAAATTATCATTTTCAATATTTTTTTATTTGCAAATAGCAAAATTAACAGAGGAGAGAAATACCTTTTTGATTTAGTTCTGTGTAGGGAATAAAATTTAACTCTACTCCCCACTGAATTTGTAAATTAATTGTATGCATTGTTTAAAGCTGGATCAAGTACATGTTGAAAGTGGAGGCCTACCAGGCTCTATTTCCATGGCATATGAGACTTTAGACAATAACTTTTCGCCACTATGAACCATAAGTTTCTCTGATATGTCATGAAAAAGTTCTGCCAGGTGTTTGGTGCTCCCCCTCCCCCCCAAAAAAAATAAAAAAACACACACAAACATTTCCAACACAAACATCTGTGATCTGTGACAGCTGAAGTCCACCATCATGCTATTTCCATTTTATTTGAAAGGCCCCTCTGGCTTGCTGACTGTTAACTAGGCCTTGAAGACATGGCATGTCTTCTAAAGTTTGTCCTGTGACAGTTTATGGAGGCAAGCATTAAATGCCTTAGCAAATGCTTTCAATGATGTTTGCAGTGTCTCCCTCATCTTTTTGAGTTTAATTAAAGCCATATCAGGAATGTTCCCATCCTCACTAACTAGTAATGTGAATGGGAAGCTTTTGGCATGACTAGCATTAACAATGTTTGCTTTGGGCTTCTTTTATTTTGTTTTGTTTTGATATAATGTCTCACAAAACTCAGGCTGGTCTTGAATACTCTATGAAGTTTAAGATGACTTTGAACTCCTGCTCCTTCTGCTTCAAATACCCAAGGACCAGGATTGGCTGTATTTCCGTTATTACTAGTTCTTGAACCTATGACAGTCAAAATATTAGTTCTCTAAGACACTTGTTGTTCCCCCATCTGTGATCTAAGCTGTTGTAACTTCTGCTTTGCTCCACACCTTAATTTGTTTATCTGACTTGGACTTAATTCTCCTTACCTTTGTTTTCTTTCTGCTTCTTTTCCTCTGTAGCAGATGTCCTTACTGCTTCCCCCGTTCCTAACAGTCAGGAAGGTAAACACCATTTGAACCCGATATTTTAACTGCATGGATGTCTACATTATGTCTTTACTGTCTTGGGTCTGATTAGCATGAAGTTGTGACACTTCTGTGCATAGAAATGCAGTGACATCATTGATCTCTTGGTAAGCCGCATGGCCCTGATTTGCTATAAGGATATTTTGGTCTAAGAATTTGTGGTCTGAAAATCTGGAATGAGACATTAGCTCTCTTGTTTTTCAGTTTAAAAGAGTACAAGCATGACATACTTCTTAGACTTTTACACTTGTTCTGAATAGAGATGCCACACACGGCAAAAATCTAAGCTCATCTACCACACTTAAAAAGATTTACATTTTTATTAAGATTATAACTTAATAACAACAATCATGAAGACTTTACTTTCCAGTTCATTTTAGTTGGGAAAGCTTTGCATTGTGCATAGCAATGAGTCTTCTCTCATGAATATCAACTTTGATATTTTTGGGGTTAAAAGAAACAAATAGCTCCCAAAGGAAGGTTAATTAACTCATGAATATACCATCTAGAAGTGCTTCAACCACTATTTCCTTCCCAGACCTGTGTGCTATCATCCTCTTCACATAGGATACAACTATCTGTGCAGGATGAGCCTTTTTGTTTAGATTATGTCTGTATGGCACAAAACTACTGGTAAATGAGTTCATAAAAATGAAACTAAACATATAACCCAAGGTTAAAATTGTGCTTCCAGCCATCATTTTGGTAACATGTAGCCAGCATTTCAGTCTTGTGGATACATACAATTAGCTGGGCTCCTTCGTACAAAGCCCCAAAGGGAAGCATTTGGCTCCTTCTCACTGATGCCTGGTAACTCCTTTTCAGACAATATCCTAGAAGACAGACCTGAAAACAAATCATGTTCTGACAAGCTTCAGTTTGAGTACAATGAAGAAATCCCCAAGAGGATAAAGAAAGCAGATAACTCTTCCTGCAATAAGGGAAAGGTAGGAGATGGCTTTCCTTTGCATGATTCTTGATTCTTAGTATTCTGTCACTTTTGGCTGTGACTCCACTCCCCTCCCTTCCTTCCTCCCTCAACTTCCCTCACATGGCAAAGTCTACCTGGTCCTTTGTGGAACACGTGCCTGCCACTTGTCATTTCACCCAGTCAGTACCTACTGGAAGTGTACGTGTGGCAGACATTGGAATGGTACAGGGAATGGATCATTTAGTAGTTGATACAGACCTGTAAATAGTATTTGTGGATAAGTAAAAAGCATAGTGGTCTCACTGTATTAATAGAGGATCAAGGACAGGCTTGCGTGGAAGACACTGTTTAAGAGTGAGAATTTGCACAAGTATACAGAAACAGGGCATTCAGGCCAAGAGGACAGCTTGGTTGTTCAAGAAATTGTAAGAAGTTTTAAAGTCATTTATGCCAAGAAGATGAAAGGAAGCAGGTTAGGAAGACAAGCAAGAACAACACAGAGACCAGAAAGACACACGAGATGCCAGACCTTACCCCAGTTGCCTCACATCCTATAGATACCGAGAAAATCTATCCAGACAGCTGCAGTGTCAGAACCCTGAAGCAAGGCGTATGTGTCATCAATCCTCTGTTAATTCAACAAATGTAAGACAATGGATTCTGTCCTGAGAGACATGAAGGATGCAGTAAGACACACCCTTTTCCCTCAGAAAGGGACTGGGATATGGATGGGAAGAAATGCTTAATAAGGGGAAGCACAGTGGCAACAGAGCATAGATTCAGAGTGAGGGGGCTCCACCTTCTGGTAAAACGGCGTCCTTTTTCCCTTGAAAGGTATATGACATGGAGCTAGGAGAGGAGTTTTACCTTCCTCAGAACAAAAAGGAAAGCAGGCAGATCGCACCAGAGCTCTCTGACCTCATCATCTACTGCCAGGCTGTAAAATTCCCAGGTGAGAATGGTCCATATCATCTCTAACATCTGAAATTACTAAAGGATAAACGTGTACTATTTGTCTAATGGGGCATTATGAATACTCCAAAATTACTAAATTATGTGGCTGAAGTAAGTAATTTTCATAGATGATCTCTGACTTTTCATAATAATTCTCCAAGGTTAGTGGATTTTCTTGTATTTTCTTTTAAAAGATTTGTTGGCTAGTTGTTTGGTTGTTTTTATGTGCATGGGTGTTTTGTCTGTGTGGATATATGTGCATCGTGTGTGTGCCTGATGCCTTCACGCACCAGAAGAGGGCATTGGACCCCTTGCAACTGGAGTTATAGACAGCTGTGAGCCACCATGTGGGTGCTGGGAACTGAACTCAGGTCTTCTGCAAGAACAGCGAGCTCTCTTCACTGGTAAGCCGTCCTCCCAGCTCCCTTCCACCCAGTTTTAAGTAAAACAAATTCTGAGACATATAAAGTAATTTCCCCAAGATTTCGGAGCATATGTGTAAAGAGCCTTATTTGAAAACTGAAGAAGTTGAGTTAAGCAAAGACTGAAACTCAGCAGCAGATGTACTGGAAAAAAAAAAAAGTAGCATGAACATACCCAAGTCTCCAGTTCACAACACATTCTCTCTCTCTCTCTCTCTCTCTCGCTCTCGCTCTCGCTCTCGCTCTCGCTCTCGCTCTCGCTCTCGCTCTCATCCTCTTGCCAGCCATTGTGTTTAGAAGGCAGCTGTAGCGAGCTGGCCTCAGAGCTTCCAGATCCAGCTTCAGTCTGAGATTTTTTCAGAACCTCTAGCAGAAGTGATATTGTTTCTCACTGAGATATTTTCCCAAATCTTAATGCACCTTTGTGAGAAGAGGGTGGCAGTATTCTGAATGTCTGGTGCTAGAAGGATTGCCACAAGTTCAAGGACACCCTGGGACATAGTCCCATCCCTTGAGGCTCTGCCAAACCACAAGCATAGTAGTTGTGGGAAGGGAGGAAGCTTTCCAAAGTGGCCATTTCTGGAAACACAATGGATTTAATGTGATGAACCACTTTTTAAAAAGATATTCAATTCATTTAGTAAATGCTAGATCTATGAATCTGAAGCCTCTCTGTCTCCAAAGTTCTTCCCTGAACTACATCTACTCTGCCTTTTTCATAGGGGTGTTTTAAAATGAGTTCAACCCAATTGTGTGTTCCATAAATGGGGACCAAGAAATAAAAACATTAAGAATAATTAAAAAGGCAAAAGTCAGAAAAAATGGTCTTCTCATACAAAACAAACAAACAAACAAACAAAAAACCCCCTCTTGCCCAAGATTTCTGAGGAGAAAAAGCTAGGATTGGAAGATTCATCTGAAGGTCAGTAAATAGGGCATATAAAATTGGCCTACAGAGAGGAGTCAAAATGCCAACTTTCATCTTTTCAAGATGTGTTGAACTCAGGTCCTGGAAAACATCACTTCTCACACTGCCACCTGGCAAAGAGAACAGAGATATCCAGCGACTTTCTTAGATAGTATTGGAAATTTAAATCTTAGGATAATAGTGGCCACCTTACACACCATATGAAAAAAAAAATCATAGTTTTCTTAATTTGGGGTTGTCTTCCAGAAACTGTAAAACTTTTGGCAGTTGCTGCTCCTCGCCTGCTACTGAATCCTCTTGAAGTGGATATGAATGACTATGCAGCAAATATTTCAAAACATACAGGAAGGTAGCACTTAAGTTGAGTTTCATGTGGTTGGAGAGATGGCTCAGCAGTTAAGAGCACTTACTGCTCTTGCACAGGACCCAGGTTTGGTTCCCAGAACCCACATTAGGTGGCTCACAACCACCCCTAGTTCCAGTCCCAGGAGATCCAGGGCCTCTTCTGGACTCTTTGGGCACCAGGCACTCACATACTGCACATATACACGGGTAGGCACACATACATACATGTAAAATTCAAAGTTTTTAGTTTCACAGAGCATGATTTATGTCCCATAAGTAAGTATGCCATTGTCATACTTACCTAACACCTAACGCTGCTTATTTTGTTATGGAGGAATAAAGTTAACCTGTCAGCATCACATCAATCGTGAGGGCCATATCACAAGCCTGCAATGCCAGCACTCAGGTGGCAGAACCAAGAGAATTGCCCTAAGTTCAAAGCCAGCGTAGTCTAGTGAAGTCCAGGCCAGCCTGAACTATAGAGTGAGACCCTGTCTTAAAAAAGAAAATCATCATTGCTTCATGTTTCATTCTTTATAAATACAGTTAACGCTAGAAATACAGACACAAGTTCAACTGGCTTTGTCTTTTGTCAAGGAGTGAGTAAACTGGAAGCAGATTCCCATAGGTATTTCAATTCAGTGAGAAAAAAAAATAAAGTTTTACCAAATAGAGACTTGTGATAGGGCCAGGGGGGCCGTAAGGCCCAACTACTGATTTGAAGTACAGGATAAGTATGTAGTTGTTCAGACTTTTGTTTGTTTGTTTTGCTTTTAGAATCTCTTGATTAGGTTTGTAGTTTTGGCTGTCTGAGAACTATGTAGACCAGGCTGTCCTCAAACTCACAGAGATCTACCTGCAAACCTGGCTATTATTCCTGGTATATTGTTTTAAAACATTTACAAAGCATGTTCTTTTTTTAAAGATGTTTTTCTGTTTTTTTAAGACAAATTCTCTTTGTGCAGCCTTGGCTATCTTGGAGCAGCCAACTCCTGAGTGCTTGGACTGAAGTCATGTGCCACTACCACTCGGCTTTTAAGATTTTATTTTTATGTAGGGCCGTGTGTGGGCAAATGCATGTGTATGTGTCGCACATGGCCCAGGACAGGAGAAGAGGGCATCAAACCCCTCAGAGCTGGAGTTACGAGCTATTGTGAGCCTGCTGATGGGAGGCTTGGGAAACCGAACTCAGCTCCTCTGCAAGAGCAGTAAGTGCCCTTGACCACTGAGCCATCCCTCTGACCCCACACAGCACGTGCTCTTTCTGTGCTGTTTGTTAGCAATTGAAGTTTCTCTACTCTGCCTAGAATTTTATGTTCTAAAATTATTGCCTTGGAGTCACTGTTATAGTACCTTCTAAAATTAACTGTCATAATTTTTGGTGTACACATGGAAAATATAAAATGTTTATTTTGTTAACCTTTGGCTTTGTGTTTGATAAATTAATAAGTTACATGATCAGTTTCAATGACTGTCACCTTTCAGCATTATCCACTGTGGTCCCAGGAACACAGGCCTATAATCCAGCTGCTTCAGAAGCTGAGGCAGACTGGAAATGCGAGTTTGTCTGCAGAATGATTTCAAGACCATCCTGGGCAATTTAACACGACCCTTTCTCAAACCTAAAAAAAAAAAAAAAAAAAAAAAAATAGTGGGATTATTAGCTCTGTAAACTTTCCTGGCATTTGTAAATACTCAAGGTTCAATTCCCTTTGCTAAAAGATTAAAACACACACACCCTAGCAAATAAATTAACACCTAAAACCTGCAGAGTGTAGAGTGACCCAGAGCCATAAGAGTAAAGTAATTTTTGCACAGTTGTGCACCTATTTAGTGTCCCAGCAAGAGCCAGAACTCAGTGTCTCAGTTCCTAGGGCTGTGTTCTTTCTTAGGATCAAGGAAAATAATGGAAGCTCCCTTTGTTTATATCTGCTATATGATTTGTTTCTCAGTTGCGTTTAACTCTTACATCTCGATGGCTTTTTCTTCTTCTAATAGGAAAGGAGGCTGTGCTATTCTCTAATGGTACCACCTTCTTAGTTTTGCTGGGTACTTCCCAGCAAGCTCCTCTGTATACCCGACTTTCATCAGGTCTTTATCACTGTCTGGCCTTCGCTGAGATAGAACAGACTCAGGCAAAGGATGCAGCTCAGTGGTTGAATGTTTGCCAGCATGCACAAGCCCCTGGACCAATCCCCTGTGCCATAGAAATAAGAAAGAATGTTTTAAGCTTGCCCCGCCTCAGCCCCTTTACTAATTCCCAAACTCCAAGGCCATGAGTCTCTCTCTATAAAGAGACTGAGAGTGTTCATGGTGTCTTTTTTTTTTTTTCAGGCCTCCCTGCATTTATAGGCATATGTTTGTGTTCCTCCCTCTGATGGCAAGTATCCCCGCACTTAACACATATATGTATTTGTGTATAATGATTCCTTCTTGGGATGTGCAGTCCCTTCCATTTAACTTTTTTTTCCATGTATGTGTATGGGTATTTTTCCTACATGTGTGTCTGCATACGATGTGCAGGCAGTGCCTTTGGAGACCAGAAGTGGGGCATGGTATTTTTCTGGCCCTCCACTGGTCTGCAAGGGCACTGCCTGCACGTCATACAGAGACATACATGCAGGCAAAATACCCATAATATTTTTGTAAAAAAAATTGTTTTAGATGGAAGTTACTCTACATCCCAAGATACATATATTCAAGAGAAATATTAGGTGACAAAACTGGGCAAAGTTTATCATAGCTTTGGCCTACACCAGTCCACTCTATAAACCTCAGTTTTCTGAACCCATCATCTGTGCTCCCCTGCCCCTTTATTGAACGTAGATTCTTTTCTCATACAATATATCTTGATTACTGTTTCCCTCTACTCCTCCCACCTCCTTCCCCACATCCCCTCCCATCTGGATCCGCTCTCATTCTGTCTCTCATTTAAAAAGAACAGACTTTTAAGAGATAGCAACAGAGCCAGGCAGTGCGTGCTAATGTGGGTGGGTGTCCCACTCCTTTAATCCCAGAACTTGGGAGGCAGAAGTAGGTGGAGCTCTGAGACTGAGGCCAGCCTGGTCTACAGAGCGAATTCCAGTATAGCCAATGCTACTCAGGGAAACCCTGTCTCGTAAAACCAAAGGGGGGCGGGGGGACAACAGGACTTAAACAATACATAATAGAACAATAAAGAAAAACCATCACATCAAAGTTGAACAGGGCAAACCAACAGAAGGAAAAGAGCCCAAGAGAAGGCACAAGAATCAGCGACCCACTTGTTCATGCACTCAAGAATTCCATAAAAACAATAAACTGGAAGCCATAATATCTACACAGAGGACCTGGTACAGACCTGTGCGAGCCCTGTGCTTGCTGCGAGTTCAGATTACCTTGTTCTCCTGCTGTCCTCCATCCCCTCTGGCTCTTACAACCTTCTACCTAGTCTTCCACAGGTTTCCCTGAGCTCAAAGGGTTCTAAAATATCTCTCTCTCTCTCTCTCTCCCTCTCTCTCTCTCTTTGGGATATCTGGCTGTAGGTTTGTGTGTTTGTTCCCATCTTCTGCAGAAGGAATCCTTTCTGATGATGGCTGAATAAGACACAGATATATCAGTATAGCAGACTGTCATTAGGAGTCATTTCATCACTACTTTTTTTTTTTTAAGCCCAGTAGTATTTCATTCTAGGTCTCTTGTCTACCTAGTTTCTGGTTCTTGGTCAGCCTAGCAGCGTCAGATGTCAGATATGCTCATCGGTGCTTTTAAACAGATCTCTGCCCTTTCTCTGCAGAGTTCTTAGAACGGTTACCATTTTCTGAAGAAGACCTCCCAAACTTCTGCAGCATAAGGAGTACTCTCCAACGGTACAGCGATGGACAATAGGGGCGATTTGGTGTTAACTGGCTTCCTTGGAGCCTTTAAGTCACTCTTCTTATATTAGGGTTGGGTCTGTATGATGCGCATTCTCTCATTCAACAAATATGTACTAAATTCCTGCTCTGCACCAGGCACTGTGCCTGGCCTAAAAGACCCAGGAGTGAGTGGACTGAGAGTGAGAAAAAAAAAAGCCACAAAACTTCATCATCATAACAATATCTTTTCCATTGAGCCCTCAGACAATCCTGTGAGTAAGTTCCTATAATCACATCCATTTTTTAGATAAGGAAAAGCAGAAGGTTTGGTCAAAGATTATGCCAGAAAGATTTTTTTTTAAATTTCTTTTTGAGATTACAATTACATCATTCTCTTCCTTCCTTTTTTTCCCTCCAAACTCTCCCATATATACCTCCTTTCTCTCCTTTAACTCATGGCCTGTTTTTTCATTAATTGTTTATGTATATGTATACATATTCCTAAATACTTAGTACAACTTGCTCAGTTTTTATATTGTTACTTATATACGATACGACACACACTGTATACAGAAGCTGACCATTTGATATTAGACAATTAGTGTGCTCTCCCCTGAGGCTCAGCATTCCTTAGCTTACCATTACAGAAAACCACAACCAATCAGAAGGCAGAGCTGTGGGGCCCAGTCCCAAAGGATACATCTACAAAACAACTCCTGCACCTAAGGCTCAGGGATCATTGCGGAAGAGGGGGCAAAAGACTGTAAGAGCCAGAGGATCAAGGAGTTGGCTGTGAGATTGTCTCCTCATAATGTCAGAAGCTACAGCCGTGAAGTCTCACCAACAGGACCACCTAAACATGAGCTGAACCAGGACAATAATAGGCATGCTAATATGGGTGGGTGAAAGCCAGAAGACTTATAATATGGACAATATTACGCCCAGGCTCATAACCATTCTTTCGTCTCCCCTAGTTGAGTTGATAGCCTGTAGGAATTAAATGTTAACTGTAGCCTATTCTGTATGTGTAATCATAAAACTCTTTCAGGTACACAGTTCACTAGAAGTGTGTGTGTGTGTGTGTGTGTGTGTGTGTGTGTGTGTGTGTGTGGTTATTTAGAGAATTATTCTTTAATAATCATGTAGTGTTTGTTATATTTGTCTAGAGATTAAATAAACTCTGCTGTAATTGCCTACCATACTAGTATCAGCCTTGTTAAAATGTAATGGGTCTTCTGTACTGTGTAACAAGGGAATAGTAGGACTTCAATATAAACATTAATGAGGATGGAAAATGTTGAGCTCTCTTGCCTGTAGCTTTTGGCTTATTTATTTTCATTTTATGAGAACAGGCCTGTCAACTCTGAATTCATCTGGCTCTAGCAGAGGGAAAGAAAGGAAAAGCAGGAAGTCCATTTTTGGCAACAATCCTGGCAGAATGAGCCCAGGGGAGACAGCATCATTTAACAGAACATCTGGAAAAAGTAAAGTTACCTTCTCTCAATGTCTTTGCTTAGTCCTGCATGCTAGATGACTCAGATACTTTGCTGTCTAGCCACTTCCCTTGAATTTTGAAATTCACTTTTATTTTCATAGATGTTTATACTGTCCAAGTACAACATAAATATTTTTCAATTGTTAATTTATTCTTTTAACTCACTACACATAGCATTTTTACTGAAGATGCTCTCACAATGTTTGCCTCAAAAGTAAAATTGGAAGCACCATAGACTGTTCCAGTGGTTCCTGGAACTGAGCCCTGTATCCACAAGATACATCATTTTATTCCTAATTACTTCTTATTGTAAAAGTAATAAATTCTCCTAGTTAAAAGTCCAGCTGATACATAAGATGATTAAAATTCCTTCCCATTCTCAGTGTCATGATGTTGTTTCTCAGAGTTGACCACTGAGAAGTTCATTGTAATTTATTCAAGGAAAAAAAAAGTATTTTAAAGGATATTCAAATAGGATGTAATCAAACATAGTTGTATAAATTCTTAGTTGCTCTAGTTGTCACACACCAGTCTGTACATTTGTCTGTCTTAGCCTCTTGTGTGCCTGTGTAATATTCCTTTATATGGATATTTATTTAACACTTTGTCACTGAGAAAATATTTGGGTTTTTGTTTCTTGTTGTGAGCTCTATACAGTTGCATATAGACTTTGTACTTGTAAAGATTGCCCACAGAACAATGAAGTACTGAGGCAAAAGGACTTCTAGATGTCCAACTTAAATTGGTGTTGCTATCCTCACGTTATCACATATTTCACTTTTTGGTACTGGTGGTTTAGCCCAGAGCTTTGTGAACCCAGAGCTGGATGTTGCCCTACCACTGAGCCACACTGCAGCGAGCTCCCCTCATTTTCAAACTCAATAGCCATGTTTCAAGGGAGCAAGCAACCTTCAAGATATATTCCATTCTGTTTCCTAGTTGCAACTGTGTATCTGGCGTGCTGTTGAGATTGGTCTTTTAAAATGTTTTGAAGTCCTGACATTAATCAGAGGCTAATCTCTCACCAGGTTTAGGTTCCTGTGAAGGAATTCGACAAACCTGGGAGGAAGTGTCTCCACTCAGCCCAAGCACATCCCTCAGCGCTATCATTAGGACTCCTAAATGTTATCATATCTCATCACTGAACGAAAATGCCGCCAAACGTCTATGTCGAAGGTATTCCCAGAAACTGATCCAGCACACTGCTTGTCAGCTGCTGAGGACCTACCCTGCAGCGACCCGAATCGACTCATCCAATCCCAACCCCCTCATGTTCTGGCTCCATGGGATACAGCTCGTAGCCCTAAACTACCAGACAGATGGTAAGGCTCCTGCATCCTCAACTCTCTGCATCTTCTCATGTGCAGTAAATGCGGTTCCATGAGCACTTGTTTTCTTAAGATAAAAGGAGAAAGAAAGAAAGAAAAAGAGTCCAGTGTGGGGCACACACATGTGAGGGAGGAACACAGGATGGAAAAGTAGGAAGCTGATAGGAATTGTCCCCCCGATGTTTTGGAGTTGATCTAATACGATGGTGATGATTGTCTTAAGAGCACTTTTTAAACACAACTTGCTCTGGATGTTAAAGCTCTGTGAGAGCAAGAAAGTCCCAACATCTATTATTAACGCTTGTTCTTGCAAAGTCAGAAAGTAGTGACCTGTAACTAGGGTGTCACTGAGCCTCCTTCGAAGTCCAGCACTCCAGAGGTGGAGAGCAGAGGCTGACAAGACCAAGGGCTGGTTTGGACTATACAGAGAGCTTGTTTCAAAGAGGAAAAGGAGTGGCGCTACTTCAAACACTGTTCAGATACTTCATTTGCTCAAGGTTGCAAATAAGTTCAGGCTCTCTGGGAGTTCAGGGAATAAGGCATTTGTTTCTACGTGGTGATGAAAGAAAATGAATGATGTTTCCTAGAAACTCATGCAGAGTCTAGTCTTTCCTTTGAACGGCAGATGTGCCAGTAGCCCCTGCCATTCATCTCACATGAACTGTTTCTGAACCTATGCCAAACTGTACCCTACCATGTGTCATGGCACCAGCTGAGATCAGACCACAGCTTTCAGCTCTGGGACAGCAAGGTGCCTGGTACTGGTGTAACTGCAGCTGACACTAAGGATTATTTGATTAATGATACCCATGTTTTGTTTGGTTTTGCTCTCATCACATTTACCGTTTTCAGTTGAGATTACCGAAGAACAGTGTAGATGGAGAAGCAGCTTGCAAAGTTCCTAGCACAGGAAAAGCACTGCACAAACACGAACTCTCCTTAAGGGTATTTGATAAGCTATAAAAAAAAAAAAAAAAAAAACAGTATGATTTGGTCTCAATAATGGCAAAATATTTTCAGAGTTGTAAAATGTTTTCTTTTCCATTTCTTTTCAATTCTTCACAAGCGGCCTGTGGCTTCACCTCTCTGGTTCTGTCTGTAACCCCAAGTCCAAGGCTTCCTGGACTATTATGCTACTTAAGTCTTTTAAGAGCGCTGAAATAAGCAGCAGACTGGTCTCCTCAAGGAAATGTAAGGATACTTGGCTTGGGTTGTGCCCTTCTCCTGAAGTGCCAGGACTGGTGCAGACACACTGACTCCACTGATGGCAAAGGGCGCACTTGCTAAAGTAAATATAAGAAGCTGCTGCTCCTGAGCCTACCCCCACACTTCACAACACAAACAGAGCTTCAGAGCACCTTCCCGTCACCCCTGCAGGCTTCCGTCGCCTCAGAGCAAGCTGGGAGCACCTGTTGGAGCTGCTCTACTCGAGAGAGGCAGATGGCTGTCTTTTGGTTCATTTGCATAGCCTTGCAACCCAGAAAGAATGTCATCTTCTAATCTCTCTCAGTTCTAGCCACCGAGCCTTAAACATTCACCCTTGCTGCACAAGGCACATGCTACATGCAGAGTCGGTGTGTCCATCTAGAAGACTGGCCACAATTTAGGCAGCTGTGATGGAAGCCTCCCTCAAGTCTTTACACACAGTAGATGATCAATAAGTACATGTTGCCCTGAGCTGAAGCAGCTTGTCCTGATCAACCTCACTGAAATTTGAACCTATTGTTCTTGATGGGTTTTGTTTGTTTGTTTGTTTGTTTTTTGGTGTTTTGTTTTGGTTCAGATCTGTTACTTTTCACACTAACACATTAGCTTATTGTCACTTTGACAAAATATCTGACAAGAAGCAACTTAAAGAAAGGTTCATTCCAACTTGCAGTTTGAGATGATACAGTTACTCACAGCAGGGAAGACATGGTGGGAGAATCAGAGTACAGCTAGACAGTTCATCTGCAGTCAGGAAACAGAAGAGGGACAGGAAATGGACCTAGGTTAAAAAACCTGAAGGCCTACCCCATTGACCCATACTTCCAGCAAAGAACTGCCTCCTGAAGGTTCCACAGCCTGCCTAACTGGTGACCACCAGCTGAGGAGCCAGTGTTTAACCATAAGAGGCTCTGGGGAACATTTCACAGTCACAGTGAGGTATTGTCTGGGTACTTCTCTGTGACTTGAGAATCCAAACACACAGATAAGCAATCAATACCAGAATAACCATTTTTCAGTTGTTGAAAGTAATTCCTAGGTTAAGAAGTACTTGATTAGAGAGGGGGGAAAAAAGTACTTGATTTTTTGAGTGACCCATCAGCCTCCTCATCTCACAGGGCTCATCTGCCTAGCCATTTTGTTGATGACAGGGGACTTTGGTGCCTCCCAGGGGTGTCTGTGGCTCTAGGACCATCTATTCTGTCCTCAAGCTTCCAGTTGACCTGTCAACTGGAAGAAGTGATGAGCAGGTCCATGCTCAATAAACGTGACTCAATTTGAGCCTGTGAACCTGAAGCCGATCTGCAAAGCTGTGGCTACCATTGGCAACAGCCTATCTGACTTCTTTCCTCTGGGCCTGTGTGAATCCAGCTCCATATACTGAACACAAAGGATGTAAGCACTGTGACCCCAGTCAGACGAAAAGCTTCTTTCTAAAGAAGTTACTATGCTTTATTGGATTAGAGTTGCAGTTTTCACAGTGATTTTTCAATATCCCAAATACAGGGGTAACCAGGACAGTCGGAATGCACTGGTTCATGGACTTCCTTTCATTTGGTTACAAAGAGGAGTTTGCAAACTGTGGCTGTAGCTGCCGATGACTACTAGGGCTCCCTGAGGAGACAGTAGAGGATTAGACTCAAGCCCCTCTTTATTTTGAACTGAGTAGCTTCCCAGAGATCTCTTTTACATATTGGAGTACTAAATGGGATCATGTCTAAGAGAGGGTGCTTTCGAGTGTTTAGAAGCTAATCATGGCACAGTTGATAGAGACAGCCAGATCCCCTAGCATTCTGAAGCAGAAGCAGGCCAGTTTCTGGGAGTTTGAGGCCAGCATGGTCTACATAGCACATCCCAGGCCCCCAGTTATACACAGTGGGACCTAGTCTAAAAAAAAAAAAAAATGTTAAAAAGCTGTTAGGTTAGGCACAGTGCTAAGAAGAACTGACTCCAAACCTGAGTGAAGCTGACACCATTAAGCATGAGCCACTATTGCTGTAAGAATGCTGGTTGACCATCCTTTATCTAGAATGCTCAAGACTCCAAGCATTTGGATGTGAAATTTTGTTGTTGTTTCCAGATTTTGGAATATTTGAGTGTGTGTATGAGATCAGACAGAGCTTTTTACATTGCGATGTCATATCAGTGCTCATAAAATTGATTTTTAAGATTAGAAATGCCAGCCAGGCACAGTAGTGCACACCTATAATCCCAGCACTGAGGGAAGTGGGGCAGAGGCAGACAGATCTCTGTGATGTTGAGACCAGCCTAGTCTACAAAGGGAGTCCAGGAAAGCCAAGGCTACACTGAGAAAAGGGACAGGAAATGGACCTAGGCTAAAAAACCTGAAAAAACCTTGATTGTTTCAATCAAACAATCAAGATTAGAAATGCTGTTTCAAATTGGGGTAAACACGCATTTTACATTTCACCCCTCAAGTGAACATGTTTGCTTCACTCTCTCAACCATCCTAGCTATGTCTGTTTCATGTCACAGAGTGGCCAGGGAAGGAACAGCACAGCCTCTATAAGCCAGTCACATCAGAACTAGAAGGAACTTGATAAAAATGGGTGCTACGCCCTAATTCAACAGAGGAGACCAAGGCCCAAGGAGCTTGATGTGCCTAATACATCTTCGCCGGGAATTCCTGCACACACACACTTGGCCAACCTCAGAAACGTGGAAAAATTTATACACAAGATACAAGAGCAGGGGCCAAGTCTTTGTTGTTCAAAGGCACTTAGTACACTTCTCCTTGATGTTGGTTCCTGTAGCAAAGTTCATTCGGCACATGGAAGGAATCTACCAGAGGGAACATTAGTCAGGTGTGTCTCATAAACCTCGTGCTCCGTTGGGCAACGTTTATACAGACTGAGCCATCAGATGAGCACGTGAGTGTGGAAGAGTCCAGAAACTGCGCAGTCGTTCATCAAAACCTGTGCCAAATAAAATTTGGCGACAAAACACCCGAAGCCTTTGTGAGGGTTCCTAAAGTTTATGATTGAGGAGCCTGTGAACATGATATGAATCATATGTGATGACTTTTTTCATATTTAGCTATAACAAAAAAGAGGGAAGAATAATTATGGGCTAAAATTAAGATTTCAAGGAAATACTGTTTTTCTTTTTTGTATCGTTAAGATTTTATCTTACCTTTGAAATAGCAAAAATTGGCCATAAAATGGTCTGCATGGTTTGGCATTTATAGATGAAAAACAATGGAATGATTCTTTCCCAAAATAATGATTTGGGGTTTCAAACTTCAGCATAAACTGAGGTATTCTACGGAAGGTTTCTGATGGATGTAGTGAAGTTTTACTTGCAAAAGGGGTTCTGGGTTGCTTTTGTTTTTGTTTGTTTGTTTGACTTTTTGAGACAGGGTTTCTCCATGTAGCTTTGCTGTCCTGGACTCACATTATAGACCAGGCTGGCCTCACACTCACAGAAAGCTGCCTGCCTCTGCCTCCCTGAGTGCTGGGATCACAGGCTTGTGTCACCATGCCCAGCTGCAACAGGAGTTCTTAAGGGACAGAATGTAGCTTAGAGGCGGAACTTGGGCATGTTCACAGACTGTGAGGAAAGTGATTTTTTTTTTTTTTATGGTGGTGGTGGTGGTAGTGGTGTTTTGATTTTTTTTGTTGTTGGTGGTGCTTTTGTTTTCTCTCTGTTACCTGCTGTATCTCTGGATCTCCTAAGATAACATTGCACATGGTCGGTATTCATCAGTCTATGGAATGTGTCTCAATTAGGGTTTCTATTGATGTGCTAAAATACCATGACCAAAAGCAGATAGCAGAGGAGAGGGTTTACATCAGCTTACAACTCTCAGGTCATCCTCCTTCACTGAAGGAAGTTGCTACAGGAAGGAGCTCAAGTCAAGAATGGAAGCAGAGGCAATAGAGAAACACTGCTTACTGGCTTGCTTGCCAAGGCTGCTCAAGTCAGCTTTCTTATAAACCTCAGAACCACCTACCACGGTGGACTGGGCCCCCCATGATAAATAAATCAATCATTTATCAAGAAAGTGACCTCCAGAGCTGCCTACTGGCAATCTGATGGAGATATTTTCTCAGTTGATGTCCCTCTTCCCAAATAACTCTAGCTTGTGTCAAGTTGGCAAAAACTAGCCAGCACAGTGTGACTGGCTGGTTGTCTCTTCTTCATGAAGTAATGTGTAATCTTGGCTTTGTTTGTTCTGCAGATCTTCCTTTACATTTAAATGCCGCAATGTTTGAGGCCAATGGTGGCTGTGGTTATGTTTTGAAGCCCCCTGTCCTGTGGGATAAAAGCTGTCCCATGTACCAGAAGTTTTCTCCACTGGAAAGAGACCTAGACAGCATGGATCCTGCTATCTATTCCTTAACTGTGAGTATGCGCCTGTCTTCAGCGTGATGCAGCTGTCAAGCCTCTGAGAATGAATGTGAACCAGTCTAGAATTCAGGGCACTACAACGCTGTGCTGTTTCAGATCATGCAGGTTTAGTTTCCGCAATAATTTCCTATTCCCAGACGGCAGTGGCTGTCACAGACTCTGTGTTTCTGAGCCAATCAGGTGAAGTCATGAGATTCCTGCTTTATCTCATAAACTAAAAATGCTCATTTTGTCCTCCAGGGAACCCGGAATCATAACGGTGTCCTTGTAAATGTTGAGCCCCTTCTAGGTCAGACAGACTGGCATCTGTGTACACACACAGCAAGGCATATTTCCTGCGTCTAGTCTAACCTTGTGCTTCCTATTACTTATATCATCACCGAGTTATTGGCAAAACTCTACAGATTGCTAGCTTAAAATACCGAAAAATACCGAACTGCAGGTCGTTAGTCATCTCTACTTCCTCATTCATTTGCTCTTAGCTAACAAAGGAAAAAAAAAAATCAGGGCAAGAGATAGGAGAGAGCAATAAACCAGGGTCATTTTTTTTTTTTCATCTTTAAATCTCATTTTTCTCTTTCCAAAGGAAGCGCCCTTATGACACTCCAAATCCTGGGGATAACTCAGTTCACACATTCTCCCTCCACCCAAATTGCTTTCTCTCTCACCCTAAGCGGGGAGAACAGTTGCCTCTTTTGTATTGGGCCATTTTAGCAAGGGTAGACTGTTGTTTTATCTGTTTACAGAGGGATCCTGTAAGGTCTCAAGGAACACCCAGCCAACTGGGGTGCCCATTGACGAATCAAAGCAGACGCTGTCTGCCAGCTCCTCCCACATTGGCCAGTACCATTACAGAGTTGTCCTGGCTGTCATACCCCACCCCCTCCCCTAACCTCTCCAGCCCAGGGCTAAACTTCCCTTCCTCCAGCTTCTCCGATTCATACATAACCCAGCCATTTTGGCTACAAGATCCTTTCACCCTTTTTGCCTCTTGGCCGCCTCCACTCTTGGTTCCAACTGTAGTGGTCTCTTGGCTTCTGGCTCTGCCTTTCCCCTTCCCCCTCTCCGGACGTGGCCTGGTTCAATCTGCCACCCATGTTCAGTGTGGGCCCTTCCAGATGCCTCTCCTCTGGCTGTGCCCTCCCTCAGCTACAATAAACTCTGTCCTCAACCCATAACTAAGAGCACCATGTCCTCATTTCATCATTTTTTTCCCATTCATCTATGAATTAATTTCTGTTAAGGGTTCCATGCCTTGCTCTAAAACTATTGAAGATTTTGTAATTGTAAAATATATTCCTGTGGCATTTAAAATAGAATAGAATAGAAATAGCAAACTCATGTTTACATGGAATAGGGTCTTTTCTCTTGACATCTGTAAAAAAATGTAGTTTCATTTCAGTTTCTTTTTTATCATATCCCAAATTTTGACCATTGAGAGATTCAGTTTAAGTGAATGCTATAAGCAAAATAGGATTTTCAATTTTTTCTAGCTATGTGATTGCCTGAGTACAATCACTTGTGTTTGCTTAATGGTTTTATTAATCATTCACCGTACGCATTACAGAAGCTAAAACAACAAGTTTTTTCGCTTCTCTTTCAACTTCTGTGAACTTGATCCTTTGTTTTCCCCTTCAGATCATCTCTGGCCAAAATGTGTGCCCTAGTAACAGCACAGGAAGTCCATGCATTGAAGTTGACATCTTGGGCACGCCCCTGGACAGCTGCCATTTCCGCACAAAGCCCATCCATCGAAACACTCTGAACCCTATGTGGAACGAACAGTTTCTCTTCCGGGTTCACTTTGAAGATCTTGTGTTTCTTCGTTTTGCAGTTGTGGAAAATAACAGTTCGGCGATAACGGCTCAGAGAATCATTCCGCTCAAAGCTTTAAAACGAGGTAGAATAAATTTCTCAAATGGTACCTGTAAGGACTAAGGGCATTTTAAAGCAGACACTGGTGTAAAGGGAGGGCGGGCTGGGGTGCAGTAGTAGCAGGGCTAGCCATAGCTGAACGGCAAGCCTAGCCGTACTGGAAAGGTGGGTGTTCGATGGAAGGCAAAGGTGAGCACTGTTGGCTTGTGGGTCAGGCAAGCACCATTGCTTTGTGGGTGGCTTTGGTGTGGTCCGCAGAAATTTCGTCTCCTTGTGTGGTCTCACAAATTTTGATGTGCATAAGATCCCCTGGGGCACTTGGTAATAACATGTAGACTCCGATTCAGTAGTCCGGGGTGCGCCTAAGATTCTGCCTCTGAGGTGCTTCTTGGGATGCTGAATGCTGGTCTACTCTGAGTATCAAAGTGCACTTCTGTGTCCCACACCACAGCCACACTCAACCTGACATTTTCTGCGTTTCACAAACAGGTTATACTTTCCCACTTTTGGCTTGCTTTTTATTCTCTTTTTCCTAAGCAAGCAGCCCCTGGTCACTATATGTGTTTGGTAGAGTGTCCAGGACAACACACTACAACCAACTTTATTTCCCTACACTCTTAAAGGCTAGAAAGCCAAAATGAAGATGTCAGAAGGTTTGATCTCTGCTAACACCTCTCTTTGGTTTGGCTTCCTCAAAGAATAGCCAAATAATCTTCGTTTGTGTGTACATGTCCGATGCCGCTATCTTAACTTCTTCTTTTAAAAGTGATGTATTTATTTATTCCATGTGCATATATGGATGGACACCTGTGAAGGTCAGGGGACAGCCTGAAGGAGTTTATTCTCTCCTCCCATCATGTGGGTCCCAGGGATCAAACTCAGCTTGTCAGGCCTGGCCAGAGATGCCTTTACCCTCTGAGTTATCTCTTAACTTCCCCTTCTTATGGGCACGTTAATCTTATTGAGTTAGGACCCATCCTCATGGCATCGTTTTAACCTCATTAAATATTAAAGGAACTATCTCAGGTACTAGGGGCTAGGGTATCAACATATCAATAAGAGAGGCCCATAATTCAGGCCATTACGGTTACTGGAAAGTGTAAGGACAGAGAAGCACAATCACTTGGTTCAAGATCGTCATGCTGTTCCCCAGTTTAATCACATCTGTCCCAGGCTTTCTTTTTAATTATTTTTTTTTAAATTGATTCACTTCATATCCCTATCATAGTCCCCTCCCTTTTCTCCTTCTGGTCCCACCTTCCTTCCCTCTTTTCCATATCCCCTTTTCCTGTCCTCAGAAAGGGGGAGCCCTCCTCCCCTACCAACTAACCCCAGCCTATCAAGTCAAGTCTCATCAGCACTCCCTGTATCCTCTTCCTCTGTGGCCTGGCAAGGCTGCTCCACCAGGGGGGAAGTGTTTGAGGAGCAGGCAACAGAGTCTATGTCAGCAATAGTCCCTGCTCCCCAAACTAGGGGACCTACTTGGCTACTGAACTGCCTAGTGGCTACTTATGAGCAGGGGGCCTAGGTCCTCTCCATACATGGTCCTTGCTTGGTGCATAAGTCTCCACAGACCCCCGCCCCCCCGGCTCTGTTGGTCTTTATATGGAGCTCCTGTCCCCTCTGGGTCTTTCTATCTCCCAACACATTCCATAAGATTCCCTGCTCTTTGCTCAAAGTTTGGCTGTGAGTTTCAGCATCTGCTTCAATCCCCTGGTGGGTAGGGTCTTTCAGAGGGCATCTATGGTAGGCTCCAGTCCTGTTCCCTGTCTATTCTATTTGCCATTCTGAATAAGAATTAAGCATCCTCCATAGGGTCCTCCTCATTACTTAGCTTCTTTAGGTCTGTGGATTGTAGTATGGTCTGTTTCAGGCTTTATGTCTCTGCCCATGTATATGACAATGAGATACACAGTTAACAAATAGACTTCCTACTAATCCTAATGTTTTATGACTTTCTGGTTTTTCATTTCTAATGTGCATAATGAGCAACTTTCTACATTAATAATCATACAGCTACGCTACCACTTTTATTGGCTGCATAGCATTGCTTTTAAATTTATATATAATCTCTTGCTATTTTAATAAAATAAAATATTTTTATTAACTATTTTTTATTAAAAATATTTTATGATGAAAGCTTTCCCAGAATGGATATTGAATTTTAGTAAAGCAGACATAGTATGTGCTTTGGTGTCAAATTCATCAGGTTTCCCTACTGCTTTGTTGTTTGAGTTTGATGATTATTCATTTGAAGTTTAAGTTAGGAAGAGTTGAACAAGTTAATTATTTACTGACAGTCCAGTATATCCCCAGGGAACAGCTCTCTTACTGTGGAAGGTTCCTGTTAGCATGCCTGTTGCCATCCACTGCTCATTTGGGGGATACATTGGCCTCCAAGGAGATCTCTGCAGATCTCAGCCATGCATCCTTAACAGGCTCTCCCCAATTCTGCATCATTCCAGGATATCGACATCTTCAGCTGCGGAACCTCCACAATGAAATCTTGGAAATCTCTAGCTTATTCATAAACAGCAGAAGGATGGAAGAATGTCCCTCTGGCAGTACCATGCCAGCCTCTGTGGTAATTAAATTCTTATTTCAGTCAGCATATCTGCAGGACTGCTACATCAAAGGTAGACCCTCTTGTGGTACAACAGAGTAGCCAATGAGTCATTAATTAGGTAGCTATGGAAACGATAACAAAAATGACTAACACTTTGGCACTTACATATGAACAAACTGTGGCTAAGAGCCCACAGTGATGTTTGAGAATCACTGGACCAGGGTTTGCCCTCCAAAAAAGAATTTATTTATTTAAACAAGAATCACTGCTCTAATTTACTACTACTCTAATTTCCTCTATAAATTAAAAACATATGTGACAGAGTGTCCAGTTTCCTCTGTGTTCACAAGCTCTAAAAGGCACTTCCTTGGGCCACCTTCATCACCACTTCAAATAGTCCTGCTTTTTAACTCTGGCCTCTCTCTCCTTCACCTTTGCTAATTTCTTTCCATGTGCCCCTGCCCTTATTTTCTGGGGTCTCCTTCTTTCCCCCCTTTCCTTGAATCCTCTACAGAGATCTTGGCTTCACATCTGTAATACCCATGAGCTTCTACACATGGAAACTAGCATGTATTTCATATCACGCCAATCCCTGCTCACACTAGAAAGAAACACTGTCATTTCAGTAAGTTGAGACTCTGGTAGCTGAATCTCCTCAGGACTATTGAGGAAAATGTACCACTGTCTCTTCCTCCACATCAGCCTTGCATCAAGTGACAAGTGGGTCCTAGAAATTTTATATTGAAAAGAGCCTAGAATGACTATGTTATTTAGAATGTATGGGAAACTGTGTCATCTTCATTGACAGATGTTTACTTCTGAAGAGAGGAAGTGTTCTCAGACTCACAGGGTCACAGTGCATGGTGTCCCGGGTCCAGAGCCCTTCGCTGTTTTCACTGTAAGTGGAGGCACCAAGGCAAAGCAGCTCCTTCAACAGGCAAGTCCGTGGGACCCGCGGTTAAAGAGGCCCAGCCTCCAAAATGTACATGTGTGTGCAAATATGTATGCAAATATGTATGCGTAGACACGTTCACATAAAGCCATAGAGGTCCATGTTGATGATACATCTTTTGTTTATCTGTAGCTTGTTTGTTTATCTTTACATGTTGGGGCCTGAACCTACAGCCTTGTACATGCTAGGCAAGTGTTCTACCACTGAGCTACATAGACCTTTGTTGTTGTTGTTGTTGTTATTATTATTATTATTATTATTATTATTATTATTATTATTTTATTATTAATTCCACCAGGCTGACCTTAAGTTTACAATCCTCATAGCTTTGCTATGATATGTCTTTTGATTGTTTGAAATCCTAAGAATAGTGTAAGGGTTCTTGGTACCACTAGACAGGCTATGATTAAGCATAGAGAAGAACTGTTATTGATTCAAACACTGTTTCAACCTTAACCCATTTTAGAACTACTTCTCCTATTTGAGGGTAGATCAGAGAGAGCACTGACCAAGAGGAGTGTCCTGGACCTTCCTCCAAAGTTAGTACATATGGTGAAATTTGCATAATTAAAAACCAAATGAGTCCAGTGTAACAAATACTAACATAATAATATTTAATATTAGTTATCTCTATCATTTAAGGGCACATATCTTTGGATAATGAAACATTTTGCTCAACATTTTATTACTGACTTAAGTAGCATCATAGGAAACTATTTAAGGTCCAAATAATCAAAAATAAGCTGCTTCCAAGGCTTTTAGGTGTTTTTAGTCAATTAGTCCATAAACTTCATTGTCACATCACTACTAAGGTTTTACAAAGTCAGGGAAACTTCCCATAGCCTCTAGTGAGCACAACACCATATTGTCACCTTGTGCGAATAAACAAATGAGTCCTCAATGCTGAGAAGTATTGTTGAGTCTCTTGAGGAAGTGACAGTACCAAGAGAGCCCCTGGAAACCTCCCATCTTGAATAATTCTTATAGTATCATGGTCCCTATGGAATTACTAGCATGATGTCTCCTTTAAATCAAGGGCTCAGTGAGAGAGTCCAGAGTTGTGAGAATTTTCTGCTCCTACCACCCTTAGCACCTTACGTTGTTCTTTCCCTCCAAGTGAGAAATGTTAACCATAGCCATTGCATCCCCTAGGGAAATGGGTGTTTGTTTAATCCAAGCCAGGTAGTAGCAGCTGGCTCTCATGACACGGCTACCTCTCACTGGACAAAAACAGAGAAGATTTCTTCCCTATCACTGACACTTCATCAGAAATCTGTATGAAAGGAGTGAGGAAGAAAACATCAGTAAGACTCTGAGAATGGCTAGTATTTGTTGAGTGCTCATGATGTCTCGCACTGTGCTTAAAGCCTCCATCATAAACCAAAACTAATAGGTTGTTGCTGTGAGCATTCCCATTTTATAGATGGGAAGACCAATTCTCTTTCCAACACTCCAAAGACAGTAAATCTTTACAGCCTGATGCATGGTAAGCAAGTGTTCTGCCACTGATATAGCCTCAACTCAAAACAGACAAGTCTTAGAAAGAACCTCAGACCTAGGTCTAACTGACTGCAGAGCTCTGTCCTAACCACTCCATCTGATTGTGCAGAGTCCAGGGCCAACAAAGAGAAAACCCTGTAGGCACAGTGTCAGGAATCTATTGAGAGGAGCATTCCCACATGAGAACTGAGCCCTGTGAGCCTCCCATGAGAAGATAGTTGTTTCCACTGTGACTAACAGAGATGGGGTTTGCAAACTGCACTGGGTTCTTTGCATCAGTCCTTTGTTGCAAGAGCCAAGTTCATGGAGTGAAAAATCTAAAGTTTTAATTCAATAGGACCGCTCATTCTCGGGGTGGGAAAATAGTTATGCTGTCTGGGGATTATGAATAAATTGTGTCATTGCCCAGACTGAACATAAACAATCCCTTTTGAGCATTTAAGAATTATTACAGCTCTAGAAAGATTTATTCAACACTAAGTAGATTTCACTTATAAATTGCACAGCAAACCTGTCAGAACAGTATGAAAACAGACTAGTGTTTGGTTTGTGCCACTCTGCAGGTGTGTGCCTAATCCTGCCTTTGCCTTTTCTCTAGATTTTGGCGCTCAACCAAGACACCAAACTTACTACCACAGACTATTTTCTGATGGAAGAGAAGTATGTTATATCTAAGGAAAAGAATGAGTGCAAGAAACAACCATTCCAGAGAGCTGTGGGTCCAGAGGAAGATATCATGCAGATTTTAAACAGCTGGTTCCCAGAAGAAGGCTACGTAGGCAGAATTGTCCTAAAGCCCCAGCAGGAAGTAAGTACATCCTGGACAGAGCCTGCTTGGCAACTGCTCAGTCTGTCACTAGCCATCTCACCACTGAACACCTTCCTCAAACCTGAAATTACTCATCACTACAACATGGTTCAAGTAAATGTGGAGAAATGGTTTTGTTTTCCTGCACATATTCAGATGATTAACTGAAGAAACTCAATCTAAAACCAGCATCCTTTGTAAAATGAAAGAAGCAGGAACTTAAAGGATTCCTGTACGTGGCCTCCGCTGTGGATCCAATGCTGTATTTGTGTGTGTGAAGCCGTTGCTGTAAGGGTCATCTTGGACTAGCAGCCCTGTGGAAATGGCCTAGGCTGCCCTCCTCTGTAGAGTCCTAAAACCTCAGATAGAAGCAGTCACTGGTATCCAAGCATTATGATACCATGACAGTTGATCTGATCCCCCAACACAGTGAAGACAGATGAGCAGATAGTCTGATGGGGTATGCTGGACAAAGGATGATTCATGACCATCCTACTCCTCCTGCCCCTGCGCAGGATAGAACAGAACAGCGAGGAATGTCCTTATCCCACTCATACAATTTAAAACTTAAGAATTATTAATTTGTGGCATTTTCCACCTAATGTTTTCAAACCCTAGAAAGCAAACCTCAGCTGCCACACTGCCTAACGCAGGACCTGTTGACTCTCTGCCTAGTGTCCTCTAAAGCTTTGGCTCAGCTGGGGATATCCAGCTTGTACAGTCTGTACAAAGATTCCCAAATCTACAAATTCTGAAGCACACTGGGTCCCAAGGGATAATCAGCGTCTAAAAGGTTCTGTGCTTCTACATTTTTAACACTATGTCTTTGAAAATACTCCACACTTTCACACAAACTAAAGATAATCTCTCAGACTTAGAATTAGTGAATGTTTATGTGTGTTGATACCACATGGCTGTCTCCAAGAAAGGAGAATAAACAACTTCCATATTGACTCCCAGCCCATTGGCTCCTGCTTGGATTTGTCTGTGCAGCAGTTTTCCTTTCAGAGAAATCCAGCAAGGGCCTACTCCCTCACTGTCCTCTTTTAAAGGAAGAAATGAAACCATTGCTCCAGCATGTATCATCAGGCCACGTGACAAATCAAATGATAAGCAGTTGAGTCGATTCAACAATTTAATTAAACGCATATTGACTAAGCTCCCAGTATGCCCAGGTCCTGTTCTGGCCCCAACTGAGCCTCTTTGATTTGTAATAGAGGTGTGATGATCAGATGTGTATCAGAAGGGCATAGATGCTAGGAAAGTGAACTAGTTTTCCTCACCAGGCCTTACTTTTTCACACTCCAGTTAGTCACTATAAGCATAGCCTGCAGGCCAGATAGAACATCAGCCTCTCTTCCAGGACCCAGAGCCACCACCTCTTTCCTAATCTTGCCTTAGACCATAAAGGCCGGAAGAAACTTTGAGGCACAGAAACACCATCATCTTTCTTGCCTTTTCTCTCAAGTGTGTGAAGGCAAAGAATTAGCTCGCAGAGTTTTATGTGAAAACATCAGGTGGCTCCAATCGACCTTTGAATACCTTTGACATCTTTAATATCTCCCTAAATTATTCCTGTTTATAAATGTCTCGCTTCATTAATCAGCTACCTGTTAAAAAAAAAAAAAAAACCTACCTCCTAAGTGATACCTTCATTCCTCCACCTCCATTGTTAGAATGCATAAGGTTGGAAACTCCAGTCATGGAAACTGTAAGGTTGTAACTTCAGGGTTGTTGAAAGGCTGGAGCAGATTCTTTCCAGTCTTGGTTACAATTTGGCACCACCTGGTGGCAGTTCTCCATTCTGACTTAAGTATCAACGGGAACACTCCTGGGCGATGGGACCAGCTGAAACTTCCAGGCCAGTGACAGCAAACTTTGAATTCTTCTGGTCAGTCAGCATTGTGTCAGTAGCCTGTGCGAGGAGATCAGATTAAAAGGATTCTGGGAATAGAATGTTGTATGTGAAGTCTTGGCATCTGCTCAGGTCACCTACTCTTTATCTCTTTTCCCATGTCACTCTCTTGTAGAAGGTAACTTTTAAGCTACTGTCATTTGAAAATGGGGGCCAGTAAGTGGATGGACACCACGTAAAAAACTACAACCATATTCACCCAGTTCCAGGCTTCTGTGTGTATCTATTCACATACCGGAAAGTACACCTACATGTCAGTGGCAGATGTCCACAGGGATGCATCACCTGACAACAGTGAGATTTCATTTACAGACTTGTTTTCTCATTTGTTTAAGTTTATGAGAATGAGGTGATATCAAAAAGAAGAGGTGCGACTAGGAAGAGTTTCATCAGTTTTCAGCTGTTGGAAAAACTTTATTATTTTTTTATGCATATGGTTGTTTTGCCTCTACTTGTATCTGTATACCAAATGCATGCCTGGTGCCTTTGAAGGCCAGAAGACATCATTGTGTCTCCTGAAATGTACTCACAGATGAGCTACCATATGAGCTACCATGTGGGTGCTGAGAATCAAACTCGGACCCCCTGGAAACGCAGCCAGTGCTCTTTAACTTCTCTCTTTCTAGCCCAGTTGAATTTTTTAATAAAGGGAGAGTAGGGGCTGGAGAGATAACTCAGCAGTTAAAAATGTACATTGCTCTTGAAGGGACTCAGGTTCGGTTCCCACTACCCACATGGTGGTTTGTAACTACTTGTAACTCTACTTCCGGGGGACCCAAGCCCCTCTTCTGCTCTCCAAAGGTCACCGCACTCATGTAGTGTGCATACATATATGCAGACCCACAGTCATATGCATAAATTAAATAAATAAGCCTTTTTAAAAGAGTTACAAATAAGAGAGAGGGAAATTTGATTTCACTAAAATTTACCCAAATCTAATCATTCGGACAATAATTCTCGTATTACTGGGGAATTCTATCAGTATTCACTAAAAGTGTGGCTTACCTGAAGCCACTAATTTAGCATTTTCACTTTAGCTTTCCTCACTCCACCTGGATGAGTACTCCCTGTTTTATATTTCATACGCCTAGGATTTCTTCTTTGTAACTTTAAAATGAGGGCGATAGAAAGGTGGAGAGATGAAGGGCATGTGTGCCACAGCAGGTGGATAGCAGAGGACAACTCTGTGCACTTGCATGCCTAAGGATTGACCAGGCCACCACAGTTGCATGGCAACACCTTTACCTGCCAGGCCATCTCAGCAGCTCCCGTCTCTAATATTTCTTAAAGGTTAACAATTTTGGGGGGAACAGACTTCTTTTCAGTATAGCTTACTGTGTTCTTACTTGACTTTCGATAACAAGCAAAACAGTGTATTTCCTTCCTACAACTTTGTAGTTGATTTGGTGTGGGGATCACGAACCAAGGGGAAGAAGGTGGGGTGAATGGCGACAGAGCCCACGCAGAATCCCATCCTGAGACGCAGACACAAAGGTACAGATCTAACTTTATTATATAGTGTAACAGCCTTTAAATGATTCAAAGGCCAACCAGACCGTTCCTCAAGCACCAGTAACAATCAATGAGGTTAGTGCAACTATAAGGAAGTATGGGAGATGTAGGGGGCCAAGGTCACCTTAGGAAACTTCTGTAAAGAAGGGGGAAGCGGGCACTGCCCTAGCCTCAGATCCATTTTGAGACTTCACTAGTGTGCTAGGAGTCCCTAGTAGATTAACACTGTGCAGTGGACCAGGACCTTTCGAGGAGCTGTAGGAGTCGCTGATGTTTCACTCCCCTTTCCCTATGGGCCTCCAAAAAAGCTTACCTCAACATTCCCCACAATTTGGTCTCTCAAAATCCACAGCCAGTAGACATTTGTAAACTGGTTTATTCTAAAACCTCATGTCTGAGTCAAAATCAACACAAATCGAGCCTTTCTTTCCCTTGGAAGCAGGTACATCTTTTCAGCATCGTGTATTAACTTAATGAATGAACTATAAATTCAGGTGTTTTCCATTATTACCAACGAAAATTCTTACCAACTCAAATTTTTGCTAAAATTTTTTGTCTTCTGAATCATCTTACCAACTACTCATATATATTCTTTTTCTTTAAATGCAGACCCTAGAAGAGAAAAGCATTGTCCAAGATGACAGAGAGGTGATCTTGAGCGCGGAGGAGGAGAGTTTCTTTGTCCAAGTGCATGATGTCTCCCCAGAGCAACCGCGAACTGTCATCAAAGCCCCCCGAGTCAGCACCGCACAGGATGTAATTCAGCAGGTAACCGCCTCCCTGGGCGCCTGGGTGCACTTCAGAGAGAGCAGCAGGCGCAGGGCTCTGGGAGATCCCAGCACCGCAAGAATCTCTCCTTTCCTCACTCCGTGCCTTTTCTTGATAAACATGGTTGGGACAAACCAGATGTGTGTGCCTTGACAGCTCACTGATGTATGAATGAAGTTCTAGAATGGGATGGGGGCCAGAACAGGAAGAACAGAAAATATCTGTTCACCTCTGCAAAGGGTACTTAGCTACATCTACAGTGAGCTTACATCTCTGCTGATAATAGGGTTAGGCGGTGGCACCGCAGAAATTACCCCAGAAACCCGAGTAAATACTGAATGGACGTATCTGAAGGGTGCCACAGAACACAAGCAGGAGGTCAACTCTGACTGTTGGCCAAGTCTAGGTCAGGCGCTCTCTCTCTCTCTCTCTCTTTGGTACATGATTTCATAGAACTGTTACACATAGCATTTGTATTCACTGAACTCCTGCTTGAGAAGTGATGTCACACAGTAAACAGCACAAACCCTTGATCACATGGCTGAGGGTTCAAAACCAGCTCTTCACCTCTCTCACTCAGATCTGTGTCTGAGTTATACTGTGTGTTGGCAAACTTTTGTGGGGAGCAGGGGCTCCACTTCCTTTCTCTCGTGTAAATCCTCCAGCGTCTGACTTCACCAGCCCATTCTATCTGATTCTGCATCCGCTGTGACAAGCTTCCAGATGAATAACCTGGAGATAGTACGATGGTACTTCCCCCACACAGCTGTTGTAGTAACACATGCGGGTTGTTCAGTACAGTGCTTACTTAGCATGTACCTGAGTGTGACTAGTTATTCCTGTTGTATGATAATTTAATATTTGCAGTCTCCTTAATCAACTCAGAATTTCAAACTCTCTTTTCTTTTGCTCAGCTTTGTCTCCCCAAAGTACAGCACCGTATGTGGATATAAGAGGTCATGACTAAACATACAATGATGTATGAACAAATGAAAGATGTTCTTCTACTAAGTGAAAGGGAAAACATATGACTTCTAAAATCCTAGCACTCACATGTGTGATAAGGAGGCGGTCTGGTGGAAGAGAGGGGCTCCTAGGGGCCAGAATTCCATTTCTCATCGGCTGCCTGACTTTCATGTCTGTACACTGTGGTGGTGGTGGTGGGATCTAGACCTAGCCTTTTCAGTTACACTATAAGATGCACTTGCTCTGGATTCTGCTTGACCACTGCTAAGTTTAAGCTTCCTCCTCTGGAATCTGCATAGGTTTTCTAAGCCATTTGGAAGTCAGGCCATTTTGGAAGCTAACTGAGGTAACTTGAGAACATTTGTTATAAACCACAGCTACTCAAATAAAAATGAGGCATTGGGTGACCTGACCCTATTTGGAAGATGTTCTCCATCCATAAGAGTCTGAGCCACCTTTTCACCTTCAACATTCATTCATGATGGATGCAAACATGGGAGATGCTTGATTCAGCTGACCCTAACTTATCTTTCAGACCTTATGCAAAGCCAAATATTCCTACAGCATCCTCAACAACCCCAACCCAAGTGACTACGTGCTTTTGGAAGAGGTGATGAAAGACGGACCCAGTAAGAAGTCTTCTGCTCCAAAGTCCTCACAGAGGATTCTTTTGGACCAAGAATGTGTGTTTCAAGCCCAAAGTAAATGGAAAGGTGCAGGGAAGTTCATCCTTAAGTTAAAGGAACAGGTGCAGGTAATATGAAAGTTACATTGATCACTTTATAAATCACTGATAGTCACATCTTAATTATTAAATTTGGGAGCTAGTGAAAGTTCTTAAATCGAGCAGTTCTTGGAAAGTAGTTACTTTGTTTTCACTTGTGGGGATAAAACACAATAGCATGCTTTTCTGTGTTGTTAAAAGATCCTAGCTAGCCCCGAAGTGGTGATGCATGCCTTTAATCCCAGCACTGGGGTGGCAGAGGCAGGTGGGTCTCTGTGAGTTCAAGTTCAGCCTGGTGTCTACAGAGTGAATTCCAGAACAGTCAGGGCTACACAGAAAAAAACACGTCTTTAAAAAGGAAGGAAAGGAGGGAGGGAGGGAAGGAGGGAGGGAGGGAAGGAGGGAGGGAGGGAGGGAGGGAGGGAAAGAAAAAAAAAAACGATCCTGGGATAGAGGCCTTTGGATTATTTTCCCAAAGCTTTACTTGCCAGAGAGACATACAAAGGAGTACATACTCCCTCTGCTGGGTATGCCATGGGAATTGGGAACCTGGGCTTACCTTTCCACCAAGGAAGGTTCTTTTTTTTCTCCATAGGCATCCCGAGAAGACAAAAGGAGGGGCATCTCCTTTGCAAGTGAACTCAAGAAACTCACTAAGTCTACTAAGCAACCCCGAGCACTCACATTGCCTCCTCAGCTTGTGGCCTCAGAAAGTGTCCAAAGCAAGGAGGAGAGGCCTGTGGGTGCTTTGTCCCCCAGTGACACAGTGGGTACTAGCAGTGAGCGAGGGCAGCAGGTTTGACCCAGGTATATGAAGGTACTATAGCATTGTGAAATAAGACCCAACTGAAAGTACTTTGTAACACAGGCTGGTGCCTTGTGACTTTTCAAGAGGTGTCCCCTGAAGCCAGGTGGGAATGGTACTTCAAAATAGCACCAGGGCTCTGAAATTACATGCAGGCTTTTAAAATTCCAAACTTCCAGGACCAAAGAGATGGCTCAGTGTTTGCTGCCACGCCTAACGAGCTGAATTGAATCTGTAGGGCTGACATGATGGAAGGAGGGCACTGAATCCCACACATCATCCTTTGACCTCCACATGTATACCAAACCATGTACAGACCCTTGTATTTACACACACACACATTTTTCGTCTTCCTTATTTTGTAATAACTAACCAAAGGTCCCAAGAAGGCAACAAACTTGTCCAAAGTACCAGACATACTTAAGTCATCATACATAGGACTACCTTAACTATTAATTATTAATAACATACATGAACATTCTTCAAGAGCTCTATGGATCATTCAATGTTTATTCCTTTGGAGTCCTACTATTATAGTTTCGATCAGAGCCAACAACCTCATCCCTCCCTGCCTCTTAAAAAAATTAAAATATTCCAGGCATGGTAGCATAAGCTTGGAATCTCAGCATTTGGAAGGCTGGGGGGAAGGATCACAAATTCAAAGTCAGTCTGGGCAACATAATGAGTTCAGGCCAACTTAGGGAATACAGGTGAGAACTCATGTGTAGAAAGCAAAGTAAAACAAAAGAAAAATTAATTTCATTCTCCATCCTGAAAATGTAGTGTCAGTTGTCAAACCCACTGCTTGATGTTCAAAACAAAGTCAACCTCAGCAGTTGGGTGATCTAGAATATGAAAAGGGGCGCAAGGGAATCAAACACAAGAGCCTTCTTTTCACTGTTTCTTTGGCTGTTTTTGAAGCTGTGTTACCCAGACTGCCTGTGCTGGTTTGAATGAGAATGGCCTCCAGAGGCTCATATATTTCAATGTTTGGTCCCTAGTTGGTGAAACTGTCTTGGGAAGGATTGGGAGATACGGCCTTATTGGGGGACAGTGTTTTAGATGCTTGCCTTTGAACTCCATTTACCTTGGCAAGTGATGTTTAGAAGCACTGGACTAACTTCATAGCTTTGCTAACCATTGGTGCTTTTCTTTAAAAACTGCCATTGTCACAACTATGTCCACTCATGATCTCCTTTATCATAGTGTTTTCAAGAATGAACACATTTTTTTTAAGTTCTCTCTGTATGTTCTCCTAAGTAAACAAGAACAATGTTTTAGCCTTTTTGCTACAGTATTTCATATTATTTGTTCTAAAATGATAATACTGAGTTTCAATAATAACCTAAGAATTTCTAAAGAAGCAAATGTTCACCTTATCCTACCTGAAGTAGTTGAAGAAATTTCTTCTTTTCCTAAAGTTGAGGAACATTTATTTGATGTAATAAAAGGTGTTTCTTGTTTTTTCCTAAAGAATGTGGTGTTCCAGGACAGAAATAAGTGTTCTACCTCCTAAGGACACCATGTCTTACCACTGTATTAGGAAGGGACTCCTTCAAATCTAGCCACTAGAGCTGGCCCATAGGACCAGCTTGCTAACTCAACTTTGAGAACATGTAACCAGAGGCAGAGGTTGGAAAACCTTGAAAAACTGGCCATAGGGTTTGCTGAAAAGCCTAAGTCTGTGGGCATTGGAAATGTAAACATGTCCTTTAAGATTTGTATCAGTTATTCAAATTGGTTCCTGTATTATATACCATGGTGTATTCTTTAGACTGCCTTTTTGCAAAAAAATGGTTTTTTCAAAAGCTGTTATTCATATGCCCACAGACTGCTCCATTTTCAGTTCTCATAAAATTAATTTAGAATGGTGTACATCATTAGATCACTACAGCATTAGAATTCTGCAGTTGAACAATGTGGAACCTGGCTAGGCTGTAAACATTGCTGCTTCTTTGTGGTCAATACATTAATAAGCCTATGTGGATGATGTTGCAGATAAAGATCCTTGACCAGAAGCTATCAAGAATGAACGTGGTGGAAAGGAATATACTTTACTTCCTCTACATTTAAACTGGAAATTGATGATTTCTGAACTCCAACCCTCTTCACACTTGATATGAGGTTCATGCAGAGGAAAAGCAAAATGGCACAGGGCTGCTAACCAACTTCCTGAGGAATGAAGCAGGAACGGCCAGAGCATTGCCATTTTACAGATGTTACAGTCAGAAAAGCCATCCCATAAGCGGAAGGCAAGAAGCTTCATCTGTAAAGCACCAGGCAGAAAACATTTTAGGGTCTGGGCTATATGGCTTCTGCTCATTGACTCAGCTCGACAGATGGAGCGCAAAGACAGCTGCGGACAATAGGTACAAGAATGAACATAACTGAACAATAAAACTTTATTTATGGACACTTAAGTTGGAATTTCATATAATTTTCACATGTCACAAATCTATCAAGTGTTTCAACCACTTAAAATTGTAAAATCTATTCTTAGTTTAAGGGTCATACAAAAAACACATGAATTTTGGCCCAAAGACCAGCTTGCTGACCAGCTTGGAGAATTGGGAACAAGAGGCAGAGGTTGGGAAACCTCGAAAACTGGCCATAGGGTTTACTGAGACGTGGAAGTCTAGGGGCATTGGAAATGTAAATATGTGTTGTAAGATTTGTTACCAAGTATTCAAATTAGTTCCTATACTGTGTACCACGGTGCACTCTTTAGGCCTTTCTGCAAATAGAAAAGTTCTTTTTTTTAAAACGATTATCCATATGCCTACAGATTGGTCCATTTTCAGTTCTCATAAAATGAATTTAGAATATTGTACAATTCTTGATGTCTTAATAAGAAGCCTAATCATTTTTTAAGAGCAAAAGCAGACTGAGTTGATGTTTAAAGTAGATTTATTTATTTTGCAATGTTTGTACTGACACTGTACTTGTGTATTTATTAGACATAGCTTTCTTGGTATTGCTATGGGTGATAAGCATTACTGGTTCAATCTATTTCAAGATATCCTAAAAATAAATCATATGAACATGAGAAGTGGGCCAGATATCCAGTGTAACACTGTCATCTTCATTTCTGGTTTACTGAAGAGCTGCGGATCACACTTGGCATTTGATGTAAATTACTTTAAAATCATACTTCACAAAGCAATCGGCTAAGTGTGATAAATTCTTCTGATTTTTTTGAATGAAGTAAATTGTTACTTATCAGACTGAAATACATGGTCCTCCAGAGTCAAGCCTATATTTTATCTTTCCATTGGCGTCGCTCCTTTTGAGGATATTTTTCTTCAAATTATAAAACACACTGACTTTTGCTTTGAGACTTTCCTTTACCAGTCACAGAATAAAGAAAACAACCCCTTCTCTGCACAATCTAAAAAGATACATGTCAAAAATACACCACACAGCTTTCATGTCAGTGAAAGATTCTTACTACACCATCATGCTCTTGCCACCAGAATTCAGACTATTCTCATTTGGCAGCTGTACATAACTAGAGGTTCCCTTTCAAATCAAAGAATAGGTCTGTAGCAAGAACAGAGTCCTGTTTCACTAAAAAATATATATTCTGGAAACATTTTATCAGTTTTTCTATAAATTAAAGTGGCCAAATGGTTTGCGTTACCTTGGGTTGAAAACTGAATTACTGGTCTAACCAGCCAGAGCCAAACAAAAGCTGCAGGTAAGAAGATACAGAACCAGACTGGTCTCTTAGGTTTGCCCACCCCACCTCATGGTCTTTAGCATATCTGGAGGTCAGATACACAACTGACCCCATACTTAAACACTGAGGTGAACAAGTCCAGCCTGTTGCACCCCAATTAGTTTAAAGGACATACTCTATTAAAGTTCAGTCTTTTGATGGTTTTTTGTGTGTTTGTTTGTTTATTTGCTGTTTGTTTTTCAAGACAGGGTTTGTCTGTGTAGCCTTGGCTGTCCTGGACTTGCTTTGTAGACCAGGCTGGCCTCAAACTCACAGATACCACCTGCTTCTGCCTCCCTGAGTGCTGGCATTACAAGCTTGTGCCACTGTGTCCAGCCAAATTTGAGTCTTTTTAAACAGGACACTTTACTAAAAAATGTAAATAGGGTCAGTGAGATGGTGCAGAGGATAAAGGCCCTTGCCAAAAAAGTTTGATGACCTCAGAACCAATGAAAAAGTAAAAGGAGAAAACTGATTCCACGAAAGTATCCTCAGGCTCCCCATGTGGACCCCCACATTATATATACATACATAAATAAAATAAATAAAATTTAAAAAATATAAGCATTAAAGAAATGTCACTTAATGATGAGGACACATTCTGAGAAATGCATTGTTAGGGACTTTCGCTGTATGAAAGTCAAAGCTAAGACGGCTACTGTGTCTAAGCAGGAGTTCTTCAGCCTCATTATAACATCATGGGATCATGAAGCGCCCCACAGCACCCCACACAGCACTATGTCATTGGTCAGAGCACCACTGTATGGTACATGACTACACTACAGCTGACTAGTACGTTTTTACTGAAAGCTTATGAGTTATGGGCCACAGTCCACCAAGGGAAAAAACAATCCTATTCATAACGAATTGGAATTATCCCACCACATTATTATACTTTTTAGGATACAAGAAATCTGGATAGCAAGTTCTTTTTTTTTTTTTAATTACTCTTTATTCACTTTGTATCCCCCCATGACCCCTCCCTCCCCCTCCCAGTCCCATCCTCCCTCCTCCTTCTTCACGCATGCCCCTCCCCAAGTCCAATGATAGGGGAGGTCCTCTTCTCCTTGCTTCTGATCTTAGTCCATCAGGTCTCATCAGGAGTGGCTGCACTGTCATCTTCTGTGGCCTGGTAGGGCTGCTCCCCCCTCAGGGGTAGGTGATCAAAGAGCAGGCCAATCAGTTCACGTCAGAGGCAGTCCCTGTTCCCATTACTATGTAACCCACTTGGACACTAAACTGTCATGGGCTACATCTGTGCAGGGGTTCTAGGTTATCTCCATGCCTGGTACTTGGTTGGAGTATGAGTCTCTGGGAAGTTCCCTATGTTCAAAGCAAATTCTTTATCAGTAAAATTGGTGTGCAAAAGAACTTAGACATGCAAGCTGTTTTTATTGTAATTTTTTTTAAAGGTGTAAATGTGGGGGTCTCTGCAAAGGCTTATAGCCTGCAGAAAAATGATCCTTGGAAGGCAAGAAGGAAATCTGGTTCAATACAACGTAGTTAGTTGGGCTGGTTCAAACTTCTAGAGTCTGACACAAGGCAGTTTATTTTAGTCACATTTAAACACAGCACACTTTTGGAAAAAGTTTCCTGATGGCAATTAATTCAATCCTGTATGTAGGACATTATTTAAGACATGTTTACATTGAAACTGTTCCATAAAGATGGGTTCTACTGACTTAGAAACAATGTTTAAGATAAAGAATAGGGAGAATGACTGAAGTAAATATAACAGCCTCTGGGAGTCAGGAATGGTTTGGCCCTAGAGTTATGTAGGCTGTTTAAAGCACAAGTGACAACTCCCATAAAGATGGGTATTATTGACTGAGAAGCAATGCTCAAGGTGAAGGGAGTGAAATTCTGGGATTAACAAACATAATAGTCTGGGGGATTTGGGTGAAACCTGATTCTGCAGATAGCAAAAGATTACCAGGTTTAGCAGGGAGATGGTTGAACACGCCTTTATCCTAGCATTTGGGAGGCAGAGGCAGGTGAATCTCTGAGTTTGAGGCCAGCCTGGTCTACACAAAGTAAGTTCTAGGACAGACAGAGCTATACAGGGAAACCTTGTCTCAAAAAACAAACAAACAAACAAACAAACAAAAAGCACAAAACCGAAAGATTACCAGGTTGTAAACAACACCCTCTCCCGGCATTCTAGGTAGAAAACAGGTGAACATCTCCTTCCTCTGAAGGAAGATCAAGGACAGGAGATGTTCGCCATATGTCCTGGTTTCCCTAGCATTTATCTGTGCGCAAAAGGACCTCAGACCCTCTACATGTGAACCCATGTCGACCTGGCAATAAAAGATTAGAGAATCCAGCATGATATTTGGTAGAAAGGTGACAGACAACCTCTTCTGTGCACTTACAACTGATTTATGTGGGAAGATTAGAATACTAAACAGTGTCTGGGAATGGGGAGTAGCTGGGGGTTAGTCTGTAGGCAGTGAGAATACTATCTGGACAGAAATGCACAAGCACAAGTTTAGTCTCCTGCTGATCATCAAAATGCAGTCTGGACTCAAAACTTGTTTTCACACAGGCTTCCCATCTCAGTGGTTCTGGAGGTACTGATGGTTCATGAAGGTCCAGTATAATATATGCCAGGTTTCTCTTTAGAACTCATCTTCCCCCTCCTCTATTCCCTTCCAGTATCTCTGCAGATACCCAAGGCCTGGTCTGAAAAGAAGGGCTGGCTTTGTGGCAGTAAAAGGGAATTAACTCTAAAACACATTTAAAGTTCCACAGACAGCTACTTTTCCTGCCAATCAAGAATAAGGCTTTGGAGCTATTTTCTTGAGCTTACACTCAGCAGTGTAAGCAGCAGCCTTGGGAAAGTGACCAAAGGAGGCACTTTCAACCCCTGTATAGCTGCTTCTCTCACAACAGCACCAAAGCCAGAAAAGGTAGATGCCCTGGTTTCCAAGTGATCAGACAACAACCTCTCAGATAAAGCCCACACCTTTCTCATCCCTCCTACAACCCACAGGCAAGCTACATGTTAGTTCTCTGTTGTCTCTTCCTAAAAGGAACCAAAACTAGAGACTTCTGACACAAGAGTATGTTAAAAAGTGGCATTTGAACACATTCTGCAGCTCCATTAAAACACTCTCACACCTGTTTGAACACACCCTGAGCTTATTTCAGATGACAGCCTCTGACCTTGGAAATAATTCATTCTGACTGGGTAAGGCTGCATGTTACCTGACTTGGCACCAAAGCTCATGAAAAACCGAGGCTGTATTACTCCTACTATCACACCTCACTTTTAAGTGCCTCATATACTGCTGAGCACACAACAGGTGCTCAAGATCTGTCTTCAAAAAATAAAGGCTATGTTGCCAGGTGTGGTGGCACACGCCTTTAATGCCAGCACTTGGGGAGGCAGAGGCAGGCGGATCTCTGGGAGTTTAAGGCCAGCCTGGTCTACAGAGTAAGTCCAGAACAGCCATGGCTCTCTTGAAAAAACAACAACAAAAAAACCTAAATAAATAAATAAAGGCTATAGTTTAATATAACTCTCAAAGTGTACGTATATAAAAAAGTGAAAGTACACACATAGTTTTTCCTTGAATTCATATGTTACTGAAGTGCAAATTTATATATAGATTTATGGTCCAACTATGACAAGAAACTGGAAACTGTAATACAGTCATGAAATACTAAGTTATCAATTTCTATTTTAAAACTGATTTTTCACCTACATACAGTTGTTGCTGATAAAATATAAATGTATCAATGTTAGAAAATAATTGATTTATAACATACAGACAGATTTTTTGGTTGTATATACAAATATTCTTAATTTTTTGGAATTTTTTTTATTCAAATACTGAGGTTTGAGAAAGTACTTGTGTACAGAACCATACCTTTTCTCAAAATTAATAATAAAGCTTTATTTGGCCTGGTGGGAGGCACTGCCAAGAGCCTCTCTGTGAATTCAAGGCCAGCATGGTCTATGTAGGAAGTTCCAGGACAGCCAGGAATATATAAGGAGACCATGTTTCAAAACAAAAAACAATAAAGCCTTAAAAATGCAGCTTTCCCAGGCAGTGGTGGCACATGCCTTTAATCCCAGCACTCCTGGGAGGCTGAGGCAGGTGGATCTCTGTGAGTTCAAGGTCAGCCTGGTCTATAGAATGAGTTCCAGGACAGCCAAGGCTACCCAGAGAAACCCTGTCTTGAAAAACCAAAAATAAATGAACAAATGAATGAATGAGTGAATGAATAAATGGCTTCAAGAATACTTTTAGGCTGTTGTGCACGCCTTTAATCGCAGGCAGAGGCAGACAGATTTCTCTGAGTTCCAGGACAGCCCACAAGAGAGAGAAACAGAGACAGAGAAGGAGAGAAAAACAGGAAAGAAAGAAAAAGAGAAAGAAAAAAATAAAAGGAGAAAGAAAGAGAAATAAATAGGGAGAGAGAAGAAGAAAGAGAAAAAGGGAAAGACAGAGAAACAACAAAAGAAAAAGCCTTGCTTCTGGAACTCACATATAAGAACACACTCAAG